CTGCAGACAAGACTGTTCTACTGCAGGAAACACTGGTGATACTGACTGGAGTAACAAACGTTTACAGCTTCCTTCAGTTTAATAAATACACTATAGTGCCAAAAGTATTTGCTCACCTGCCTTGACTTGCATATGAACTTAAGTGACATCCCATTCCTAATCCATAGGGTTCAATGTGACGTTGGTCCACCCTTTGCAGCTATAACAGCTTCAACTCTTCTGGGAAGGCTGTCCACAAGGTTTCGGAGTGTGTTTATGGGAATTTTTGACAATTTTTCCAGAAGCACATTTGTGAGGTCACACACAGATGTTGGACAAGAAGGCCTGGCTCTCAGTCTCCGCTCTAATTCATCCCAAACGTGTTCTATCAGGTTGAGGTCAGGACTCTGTGCAGGCCAGTCAAGTTCTTCCACACCAAACTATCTCATCCATGTCTTTATGGACCTTTCTTTGTGCACTGGTGCACCTTCATGCTGGTAGAGGAAGGGGCCATCTCCAAACTGTTCCCACAAAGTTGGGAGCATGGAATTGTCCAAAATGTCTTGGTATGCTGAAGCATTCAGAGTTCCTTTCACTGGACCTAAGGGACCAAACCCAGCTCCTGAAAAACAACCCCACACCATAATCCCCCCTCCACCAAACTTTACACTTGGTACAATGCAGTCAGACAAGTACCGTTCTCCTGGCAGCCGCCAAACCCAGACTCGTCCATCAGATTGCCAGATGGAGAAACGCGAGTCATCACTCCAGAGAACGTGTCTCCACCGCTCTAGAGTCCAGTGGTGGCATGCTTTCCAACACTGCATCCGACACTTTGCATTGCACTTGGTGATGTATGGCTTGGATGCAGCTGCTCAACCATGGAAACCCATTACATGAAGCTCTCTACACACCGTTCTTGAGCTATTCTGAAGGCCACATGAAGTTTGGAGGTCTGTAGCGATTGACTCTGCAGAAAGTTGACAACCTCTGCTCCCTATGTGCCTCAGTATCTGCTGACCTCGCTCTGTCAGTTTATGTGGCCTACTACTTCGTGGCTGACTTGCTGTCATTCCCAATCGCTTCCACTTTGTTATAATACCACTGACAGTTGACTGTGGAATATTTAGGAGCGAGGAAATTTCACGACTGGACTTGTTGCACAGGTGGCATCCTATCACAGTAGGCTCTTTCACAAATGTGTGTAGAAACAGTCTGCATGCCTTGGTGCTTGATTTTATACACCTGTGGCCATGGAAGTGATTGGAACATCTGATTTCGATTATTTGGATGGGTGAGTGAATACTTATGGCAATATAGTGTACTTTGCTGCAGTCAGACCTGAAGATGTTTTATTAGTCCTGCTGCTGCTCCAGGGGCTGCCTGGAATCTTCAGACGTCCCAGACTGTCCGACAGGAGGCCTCAGCGTGTCCCTGCACACAATCTCAAAGCTGCTGTGACGAAAGTCGATGCCGAATGTACCGATGAAGATGAGGAAGAACATGACCAGCGCCCACTGGCATCGAGCAGCATACATGAGAGAGTAGACACTTAAGCCTGCAGCGGTGGAGTTAAGGGTTTAAAACAATTCTAAAGGAGGACAAAAGACTACAAAAAGCAAGCGTTCAAATCAATAATCAGTGTTACAAGACGCACTAGAGGTAACTACAAAACCAAGGTACTGTAAAAAATAGTAAAAGCAGTGACTTAATATGTAGGGAAATTAAGTAGAAACTTGATTTTTGGAGAAAAAAAAATTTATGCACTGCAGTAATGTTTAGATTGGTTTTATTCAGAACAGTACTTAAAAGCTGACTTCTTTTGTCCAAAGTACTAGCTCATAAAACATATAAAATCCTACATAAATGCTCAAATAATCCTTCACAAGAAATATTAAGTATACATTTGGTGAAAAATTCAATTTTTAAGCTGCTCTGTAAGGAAATATTTGGAAATAATAAACAATATTTTGCAGGATTTCATTTGTTCAGGGGTCATTCAATCTCAAATCATCAGATTTTAGAAACAATTTCTCCTCAACCATGTCTGATTTGCCTGAAAATTTTAAAGCATAAAATATTGACATTTATAAAGATATCTGTGAAATTTGAGCTTGATATATCAAATATTTTCTGAGATTTTGTTTTTTTTTTAAATGCTTGTTGACCACCTATTAAAAAATGCATCTTGGTTAAGCTTGGAGAACTGTTCTGAAACCAGAACTCTGCTGTACTTGGATTAGAAAACGTTTTTGTTTTTGTGATACAACTCATCATACGTGCTTAGTCATGACAGTTTAATAACTTTCTGTACATTTTTGTGGCTGATTCTTTAATTTAAAGAAATATTCTATATGTTTTGTTTTGTGTTATTGTGACATTCAACATATTGTTCAGAAAACGTCACTAGATAACTTCTGCACCATCAGTTCTTTTGTTACTGAGTGTTCAAAGAGGGGACTTTTCATGACAGCTTCAATTTCTCTTCACATTTCAACTCACCCATAATCAGAGACCACTTGATATACTTGTTCAATGTTGCTTTCATCTTATATAGTTAGGTTTTGAATTTCAGGTTCGATACACACTTCTGCTGTGTGCGGTTACACTAAAGTTAAATCTTGGGTTCTACTGAGAGCATTCCTCTGTTCAAGTAAAAGGATACAGTATTTGAGGACGATGCAGAGAGTGATGACTGCAGACAGCAGGAAGCGAGCGATGGCGATGCTCCTCCCCTCGTTCTTCAGGTTAGCTCTCAGGGTGAGGTAGGACTGAACCCAGCAGAACAGGCAGCCCAGGCCAAACGTCATCAAGGTGCCCGAGTTGTGAATTATCAGCTGGTTGAATAACTGCAAACCAAACCTCCGTGAATTTTAAAGTTTCCAGTACTGAACCTGCAGCTGAGTCTGTCTGTCATAGTTCACCTGGTTACCTGGAAGTTTCCTATCAGTGTCATCCCGAAGCAGCCGACAGAGAAACCCACCAGACTGCCGAAGTTCAGCCATGACTTGTCAAATATGTTTCTCAGCTGAAGGTATCTGAGGACGGCAATAATAAACCCTGAAATGCAGAAGAACCAACAGGGAGCGAAAAATTAGCCACTCAGCACATTGAAAATGAGCAAAGATTCACCAAATGTTTCATGTATTTAAAGATATTCTGTCAATTTCTATGTATTCAAAGTCTCACATTTCTTATTTCTCTGTGCCAAACAGCTCATTTGTTGTCCAAAGACCATTTTAAAAACATCTGTGTTGCACAGGATGACATATGTCTTCATTACTCTGAGCAAAGTTTAATTAGATTTCATCCCACATACAGCATCCTGCTAACAAAGCTACTATTTCTGTCTTTGCATCTGCTGGATGTTGTATTCTAACTAGATAATCAATTACCCACAAATGCTGCCATGTTCATGACCCCGCTGAAGATGCAGCTGGCTGGTGGGAAGTTTCCTGCAACACTGACAGAGGAGAAATGTCTAAGAAGAAATTATACCCAACATAGTAGGTTTCATTGTGAAAAGGATGAAATACAGTGTCTGTACCTGATGAAAGGAGGATAAAGGGATCCATTTGTCTTCCTAGCACAAAAAAAGGAAGTTAAAGACAAAAACATGCTTTTAAATTACTAAGTGCAGCACCGAAGATAGCATAATATTCATACCTGTACTGAGAACTCAGAGGTGTTATGGTCTCACTGTAAACGGCCATAAAGTATCTGTTTGAATGAAGGAAAACACAGAGATGAAGACAAACATGTTATGACATCACCTGGTGCAGGTATGAGGTGAGACCTGTGTGTGTGTGTCCACTGCAAGACAACACAACTGTGTATTCATGCTGTGTGTCTTTGTGGCATTTTGTGTCTCTGTAGTACGAGGTTTGTCAGAAAAGTTTCAGGACTGGTGTCACAAAAAACCTCCTTATAGCGATTCTCATGTTTTTGTGGCCATCTTAGTAGCCGTTTTGTAGTAATTTTGCATGTCTTTGTAATAATGGTGTGTCTCTATGTAGTATTTACTTGTAGTACATACAACATATTTCATCTCTCTGCGGTTGCCGTGTCTCTCTTTACAACTGTCATGTCTATCACTGTTTAACCCTTTGAAGGTATTTTGTGTCTCTTTTGAAGCAGCTCGTGTCTCTTTTTTCTGCACAGGTTAAAGGTGGTGCTAAACTGAGCAGAACTTACACCACCCAGAGTCCAGCAGCGGTGCAGATGGAGTAGGCAGGAGGCAGAAGAGCCCACGGGCTGCAGTTCCGCATCATGTCCTCTGACACCACAGACGAAGAAGAAGCAGCTGTGTTGGTCAGTATGAAGACATTCAGCTGTTCATGTGTCTGATATGAAAAGAAGATGGTTTAATATTTTAATATGGACAACATTTCCTCACAAGACATGATACTGGCTTTTGACCTACATTGAGTTGTGTTTCCTGGTTCCATGATATACTTTGAGAAAGGCTGTTTTATAATATAAAAGTGAATAATTGTTATGATTATGTCTGTGTGCTGTATTCCTGTGGTGTGATGGTCACACAACGGTATTATCTGATAGAAGGCCAACTTTTAGAATAAAATAGAACAGAACAGAATAAAACAAAACTGAACCCATCCCTGCAAAACAAAACCGAAAGGAAAATACTAGAAAAAAAAAAACAACACCAACACAAAATCAGCAACAACACTAAATATTCAACAACAATAGTAATAACAACAATAACAATAATAATAACACTGGATACAGTACAATAAGAAACAGCTGTATATTCATGAATGTGTGGATATTCTATTTAGGGAGAAGACCATGCTGTCATTTTAATGATCTCAAACCAAGTAAATAAAATAATCAGACCTGAGCTATTGCTCAAAACATCCAACACACTTGGAGGGGATGTTTCGATGAGAAAGCGTCGAAGTGAACTACAACAGGAAGTAAGTAAAGAGACAGCGCAGGTAGAAACAGCTGTTTAGCGTAGATCTTACCTCTCTCTGAGGTGGGAGTCTCCCGACCAGCTGTGTGCGCTCAGGTCACCGGGAGGAAGCTGGAGGAGTCCGCTCAGTCACACCTGCTCCGACCATCCACGCTGTTCATGTCCAGTAAAAGCTCCTGACCAGCTCAGTGTCCAGCTTCTCCACGTCGGAAGGCGGTGTCTGTTATCTTCCCGCAGCAGGTTACACTCACGGCGCTATGGACGTCTGCCCTTCAAAATAAAAGCCCGCACTTGAATAATTCACGGGCGGATGTTGAAACCGTGAAGCCGCTGAGCTCTGACCTGTGAAAGGCCTCCGCCATCTTTGTAGTCGCTTTATGTCCCATTCTGCACATTTACTCATCACCATGTGAAATTTAGTCTGTTCTATATTACTCTAGGAACTTAAGCCTATTAGTTAAATTAGTCAGGTACCTTTGTTTAATAGATAAACATTGCAAGGTCTTAACCCTAATATATATATAATCTTTAATAATAGATAAATAAAGAAATACATACATACATACATACATTATCTATACATCGCTTTATCCTCACTAGGGTCGCGGGGGGCTGGAGCCTACATACATACATATATAAATAAATAGTAAAACCTTAATCAAGTCACGGTTTATATATTTTATATGTTTAAATATATAATAACTACATGAATAAATATGTATGATATATATATTTAACAACTAGAGTTAGTCATCTTTTGTTTTTAACTGTTCTTACCTGGACTTCTGGGTATCCTGCTTTTGTGTTTTCTATCAAAGCACTTTGCAAACCTTTGATTGTCAAAGTGCTATATAAAAGTTCTCATACTTCTTCCCAATAATAGTGATAAGACTTATAACAGTTTTGTTGAGATGAACGTTTCAGTCTAGCTTCTCTTAACTCTTAAAAAGAAGCCAAGGCCACTCATCAGGTACTTACAGCACAGTCCTGGCATCCTCCCCAGGCAGCTTCAGCACCATTCACATCTGAGTCATGTCCATCTTGGTTGTCAAGGGGACATGAGCCATATGAGTTGAGGGTGAGAAGAAACAGCTGAGAGTCCAAACCAATCAGTTAGAAACTGAGGAACCCTGAGATGTGGAATTTCCTCAAGAACGAAAGAAGAAGCCCAGCTACTCTGAAGTACTCTGGATAAAATCATGTGAAGGGAGGTGGTGATCCAGGAGATGGATAATTCATGCGGTGAATTTCTTCACTGAAAATGATACTGAAACTAAAAGAATCTAAAGGAAAAACAACAACAACAACAAAAAACATAGCAGCAAAAAACTGTAAATAAATACTATTTATTGAAAATATTGCATGTAGTCAATCTAAAACAAAGACTTGTTTTCCTTTATTAACAACATAAAGTGAGGTTGACCCCTCAGACTTCAGCCCTCATCGTAGTTGGAATGAAAATTACAAGTCTGCTTCTGCTTTCCTTCTGAGGTCCGATCGATTAGCTGATAATTACCTGTAATGTCTGTAACTGCTAGCGTTTGTTTAAGCATGCATACTTTAAAAATTCCATAAAAAGAAAAACGTTCATTGCACTCTGCTGAGCCTCATGATTACATTGAAAATATAACAAAACTAAAACGAAATAAAACATCAATAAAGTCCTCAACATGTGGGATTTGCATTGACGTGTCCCACACACTGACAATACCTTGGTCCAATGTGTTGTACGCAGTGACACCAGTGGTGAAAGTAAGTCAGTGAAAGCAGAAAGAGGGGTTTAGAGAACAAATAAGCCAAATAATTAAAATATAACTGGCCCTAAACATATTCAATTACTTTAATTGCATATAACAGGGACTTTTGCTTAATGAATCCATCCATAATGTTTCTGTGCAGCTTGGTTTGCAGATCTACTGCAAAATGCATGCAAGCAATGATGCACTTATATGTACAAATAAAGCATTAATTTGTACTTTAATGTGAAAATGCTATTTTTTTATTGATTATAATGTATCTTGGCATTGCTGTAGTGCACAAAAATTGAAAGACTATAAAGATGAACAAGCGAATACGTCTTAAATCTAAATGTCATTTGCATGATTGCATGAACTGAGAGCTAAAAGCATGCATCAGGAGTCTGTTATTAAGACATGATTCACTGAGATTGGCTTTATTCTTTAAAATGACTACATCTATTGTAATCATGTAGACAGAAATGCCCCTAAAATTCATAAACCTCCTGCTACTTCTTCTATTTTCATTGAATATCTTTCATATTTATTCATATTTAATTACGTATCCAATGCGCTGAATCTGTCCCTTCCTCGTTGCCAGTTTGCTTTAACAGGATTGTCGCATCTTCATGAAATACCTCTGACAACAAGTCTGATTTAAAAAGAAATGTTTAGAGCGACTTGTCAGCCAGTCGTTAGCCCTTTAATTTGGCTCAGAGTTTACTTTCACCACTGAGTGCGACTGACAGCATGGCTTGTGTTTGTGTCAGAAAAACATAAATGGCACAAAGAAGAACTGAACAGTATTTTCCTACGTCTCAGAATCATTTGCATTGCAAGTCAAATGGAGCTCCCTGTAAAACAAGTGGCTGACTTTTTTTTTTTTTCTTTTCTTTTTTCTAACGCCTGCCCGACCCCAGACCGGACACTCTCCACCGGCTGCTGGTCGAACCCTTGGAGGAGGAGTGGTTCAGAGGTTTTCTGCCTCGTCAGACCCCAAGTTTGTTGGCTTGTGTCAGCACCACCTTGAGTACAGGCATAAAGGCCGACGTCTCGCTGAAGTTGCTGTTGCTGACTATGTGGGTGTGGATGTTGAGGCCCTCGGCGTAGGACCGGGCCTCTATACTCCTGGCTATGTTATGAAGTCCTCCTACAATGGCAGGTGACAGCTGCGGAGAAGAACAACAGAATTATGTCATGGTAATGGCTTTGTACAGTTGGTGTGCTGAAAAGACTGACCAAAAATAATACTACAACACTATGAACCACTCACAGTAACTAAATAAAGTACTACTATTCCCGATACCAATTTGAAACTACAGCAGAAACTGAACCAATTAAATTAATGTAATTCAACATCGACTTTTTATTTGGATGGAGTCTTTGGATATAAAAAAAGATGCCACTGTTATTTAAAACAGTATTGTGCCAAAAGATCTAAAACGACTGACTTATTGTGAGACAGCAGCATTTGTACTGCCCACCTGCCTGATAAATGAAAAAAAAGAAAGCAAATAATAAATAACCTAGGTGTAAAAGGGAAAGGTGAAAAACATCTACATTACAAAAATAACTGGAATGTAGATTTCAAACAATCCCAATCTCCAACAGTCATTATCACAGAAAATAACATTGTGTTTTCCTGAATTTTGGTGTCGACTTGAAACTTAAGTATGAGCTCTCATGAGATCCTCAAATCAAGCTGTGGGAAAAGGCAGACTATCTGTTCATGACTCAATCTAAACATGAGCGCGGAGAATAAACCGGCTTACATGAGTAATTCTTGTATGATAACGATATATAATTGATCCCAGTAATGGTGCCACAAACCCAGCTGGATACTCACCGTCTGCTCTCTGAGTTTGTCATAGAGGGCTTCCAAGCGTTTGTTGGCGTCGTCCAGCTTTCTCTTAGTTTGCTGTGAAAACACACAAAAAAACCACACAATCACACACCTAATGCTTCACACAAATTAAACGCAGTGTTTTTTCTGTCACACAGACTCACAGGGTCGGTAGCTACAGCCAAGCACTTCTGGATGAGACCCTCGAACGTTGTCTTCAGAACCAGGTGCTCATCAGGGATCGGCTTCTTCATGATCTTCTCAGCGGGAATCGACTGCAGAGGCTGAAAGAGGAAGAAGGGTGTCAAGCGTTCTTAAAATTAGTTCTTTAACATCCCAAAAACATGCAGCTACATTTCACATTTAAGTTTAATACGTCAAAAACCATAGTGTCAATTTGACTTCAGTCCTCTTATTTAGAACACAAATATAAAGATTTGCAAAGTATTTCTGATTCTGATACAAGCTGTAATCGATCCATTCAGAGACACCTGACAACTGTGTACCTGGATCACATCTCCAGTCGGAGCTCCCGGTGCTCCCTCCATACTGGTCTTGGGCATCGCAGGGTTCATGGGTGGAGGTGAGAGCTGTTGCTGCTGGTGCATGCCTGAGTAGGGGACCTGGGCACCATGTGGGCCCTGGACCATGGCCTGAGGGGCCCCAGAGGACACCGGCTGGGCCTGAGGATCGCCGCCCAGGGGAGTCATGATGGGAGCAGTGATGGGGGCAGGAGGGGTGTAGTTCTGTGGAATCTGCTGCAGTAAGACAAGCATATTTTACAGTGATGTCAACAAGTGTTTTCTGGCCCTGATCCGATCTGAATCTTTTAATATGCATGACCTGCTAATAAAATACAATTTTCCCAGATAATGCACACTCAGAGTATTGGAGATTACTGCAGTGACTGATTGCGGCACCAGGTGGAGCCTCTTACTGTGGAACATTGCAGCTACCTGAGTAGATGAGTAGTTATGAGGATTTAGCTGGTAAAGGGACGCCATGACAAAGATTTCTCTGAGGTTTAATGACCTCCAATCAGCACGTTTATAAAATCCGTCCTGGATCAATAACGACATCATTCTTTTATCCCAGTGGCCTATGTAATGGCTGCTCTCACTGCGTCTGTGACTTAGCCAGCAATATCAGCACATGAACAATAAGATGTGTAAAAAGTCACGTGTGATAACGTGCAAGCAGCAAGTAAATGTCATAAGTCAGTACCTTTGTCAAACATGTTTCTGTGACCACTGGTAGGTTTTTTTTGGCAATTTGTCCATAAAGCTCAATTAATCACACACTGTGACCTCTTAAAAATGCACATTATGTACAACCAGTCAGGAAAAAACAAGGCACTGTTTTAAAGCTACTTGTGGCTCTAAAGCCAGAATGCAGTTCCATACTTTGGTGAGCAGACCTACCTTCTTCTTTGGTGCTCGGGTCAGAGCTGGAGGGTCATTCCAGCCGTTCTGAGGCCCTACAGAGAGAACAAAATCTCATCAGTCTGTTTTACATTCTTCACTAACACTTTACTGTAAATTCCCCTATTGTGCATTTCTAATTGTTTTTCCACACAATTATTAAACTATAGCACATTATAATGTAGTTGTAAGCAGCTATAAACACAGTCTGTTTATTAATGTACACTACTCTACAGTGAACCTCTATCTTCTACTATAATAACTCTGTTTTACTAATGTCCTCTTATGGCTGCTCAAAGGACAAGCTAATCCATTAATAAACACCTAAATATACTTACGCTACATATTCAGTGATTATATGTGGATACGTGTTTTTTAAAATCTACTTCATTAAATGAGCAGAAATTAGGACAATTTTCAACAAATATAATTTACACAACATATTCTACATCTGTGTTTAACAGATACATGAAAAACCCTTGTATCAGCTTACAACTAGATTACATTGTGTTGCAATGCATTTATTCAATGTTCATCTGCTGCTTGTAAATGCAGAATAGAAGACCAAATAAAGTATTAACAAAACTTTGATTTGTTATTTTTATTTATAATTTGGAATAAATATCATGCCATTAAGAATTTTAAAGATCAATGCAATCTTGATTGTAGTTTGAAGACGATATCAAATATCAAGACGTGCAAATTTTGTTTTCAGATGAATGATTTTAAAAAGCCACAATTACAACCATGATTTCTGTCTCTCTTATTTCTATATTTCTAGTCAGGTAATAACTAAACTCTGTGCAGCTGTGCGAGGCTGGCAAACACAATTACCTGGATGTCGACTACAAATCTCTGATTCGACCTGCATCTCAACTTTCAGCATTTCAGTCTCTTCCAAATGTACCTGCTTTCATCCAGATGACAACAAACTGCTTCCAGTTATGTTTGTGCACAAGTTAAAGCTGCATGACTGATATATCTTTCTATATATCTATATTTATAAAATAAAGTATTTTCTGGCTTGTTTGTGTCCACAGTTGAAAAACCCTCTTCTGCAAACAGAAACAGGGGAGTCATGACTGTCAGAAAGTGCTCAGCCATTTTCCTGCATGTTGCACATAAGCCTTATTTAAACTCCTGCAGATTATTTTAGAACTACTATTAATTTACACTACTTGCTATCACTGTCGGGCTGCAAGGTGGCTCAGTGGTTAGCACCATTGCCTTGCAGCAAGAAGGTCGCCAGTTCACGTCCCAGTGAGGACACCTGGGATCTTTCTGTGTGGAGTTTGCATGTTCTCCCTGTACAGCGTGGGGTTCTCTCCGGTGAATGTGAGTGTGCTTGGTTGTCTGTCTCTATGTGTAGAACTGCGATAGACTGGCGACCTGTCCAGGGTGTTCCCCTGAGTCAGCTGGGATAGGATCCAGCCCCCCACGACCCTAGTGAGGATTAAGCGGTGTATAGATAATGGATGGATGGCGATCACTGTCATCTTACACAAAATATAATGTGTCTACAATTGCACTGGTTTAAACTTTAAAAACAACGACATAAGATAACATTTTAACGTATTTTTCAATATAATGGAGACTCCAATTGAACTAAAAACTTACAGCTTAACCACAAAACATATAAATATGCATCATCTAAATGTAATTTAAATAATAATCGCATTTAGTTGATAACACTAATGAAAAATAATTTAACTGGCTGTAACGAAAGACAGTAAAGATATTCTTCACAGTTTGATTCTATTTCTTGTCTTACGGAGTCAGTTAGAGATTCCACTATACTGCAAATTTAGAGTAATCCATGAACATATTTATTAAAGCCTGTTAGTTTGTGTGAACAGAGGAAACTGCAGTGTCAGCCGTCTGACAGGCTGAGGGAGTTTGTGAGGAGGACAGAGACAGTGAGGATGATTAGAGCCATGCAGACCTGTTCTCTGAGAGGCGGGGATCAGCCCAGGGTCGGGGTCGTGCTGTGTACCTGAGACTCCGCTCGGTGGAGGAGGAGGCATGTACGACACAGGAGATCCCGGACCCCCATGCTGGAAAGACACTCCAGAGGCCGGAGGAGCGGAAAAGGAAGAGGAGACGGGAAAGAAGAGAGGATGGGAGGCAGGAGGGGAGGTTGGGCACTGGCTGATGGGGGGTTGTCCGGGATACAGAGGAGGCGCCGGCTGAGACGGGACGGGTTGAGTATACTGAGAGAGGAAGCCAGGGGGGTGAGGGGGGGAGGAGGGCTCTGCAGGAGGAGCAGTAGAGGATGAATACTGAAGAGGCTGATAGATAGGGGCCCCCCCAGCTCCAGGTGGGTACTGGTTGACCTGGGGGTAGGCTGGGAGTAACATAGGATGTTCTTTTAGTGAAAAACTGCTGCATGTTCCACCAGCTACATCATGCAGCAGGACAGCTACAGTACAGTGCATGCTAAAGTGCTAATATAGGTTACAAAAGATTCAACAGGCAAAGAGACAAACATGCTAAACATCATCTGTTAGTGACATTAAGTACAGCAGCAAGAGATCCGATGTTACAAAGTCAAACATTTCCAGTTAGAAATGTTTGCTTGAGTTTTAAAGACAAGACTTGAAAAGATTTGTTGTTGGTGATATGTGGCATCTATCGTTACAATCCTGTCTCTTATAAATGTGACAAGCTTCACAGTCACTTCACCGACACCAATGAGTGAGTGAACAGTTGGCAGAATAGAAGTATATTATGACAAATGAACTGCATATAGTGTAAATGTAATTTACTGTTGCTTGATGATGATGTGTCTGAGACTTAGAAGTAGAAACCTTACTTTCTTTAAAAAAAAAAAAGAAAACAAAAAAAACACACAAGAAAACACCACATTCCTGATTATGCAAAGCTGAATCTTCGCATCAGCAATGTGTAGAATTTGTTAGAATACTCACGCTGGTACTGATGGGAGTACATGTACGCAGGAGTAGAGGAGGCTGGAGGAGGCGCTGCGGTGCCGGAAGCTGGCATCCCGAACATGGGGTTGGAAGGTTCCATCTGCAGAGAGAGAAAAAGAAATCTCAATCAGGTTTTAAGATACTAAACACATCAGTCCAATGATAATTGTGTCCATGCTCTACAACAGAATCTTACTTTCTGATTGTAATAACAAAGCTTGGAAACAGGAACAGAACTGTCCAGTCTTAAATTAACCTTCTTGTGTAAAAATAATGTCATTCCTGCTACATGCATTCGGATTTGAAGTCTGAGGAGCGAGCTATAAAGTCATGCAATAGATCACATTCATGATGACGACGCAGGAGAAGCAAAGGAAATACTGAGTAAGGACAGTAAATGCATCACAGCCTCGGGAGACAGAGAAAAACAGAGAATCAACAGATGGCAGAGCGGCGATGGGTGGCTTTAGGGGAAGGCATTACCACAGACAAAGCACAGCTGCCATAGCTTGGGATATCAAGCATCATCCGATCAATCAGAACAGTTTTCTGGTGTGAGGTGTGTGTGGTGGCTGGATGGGCGGTCAGTATACCTGCTGGTCTTGAAGAGGAGGAGGGACATTGGGGAGGGCTGTGGGAGTTTGGTTACTCCAGGAGGTGACAGTGGAGGCAGCCCTCACCTGAAGCACACAGAGACACACGGCACATAGCAATGATGGCCGCAGCATGGGAGGGACGGAGGGAGGGAGGGGGCACCGAATAACACCACCACAACAACAACAACAACAACAACAACAACAACAACAACAACAACAACAACGCCACAACACGCGAGCATCCAACCAGAGGACACAAAAGAGGACTTTATATGGGCCAAGGTTCAAATCACAAGAACAAAACACCCTGAAAGAAGGCTTTGACACAATCAATGAAGCACTTTGATCCCAGAATCTGGCTTCATGAACCCCCTCCTGCAATAAGCACATTTAACCACTTGTTATTTCAACCCTGGCTGGAATGGAAATTTGGTTGATGAAACAACTACAACACAACAGCAATGAGCACTTCACCAGGTGGTTAGTTAGGGTGGAGATGTGGTCAGGTTATAGAGAAGGAACAGGAAAGAGACGAGTCGGCCCTCAGGTCTAATAAACCCCAAATTGAACTCTGTGCGAATCCTGACATCTAGCTGTGAAGAGTTTTAACATTAAAACATCGGGACAACCAGGGCCAGTTGCACAAAACATCTTCAGTTAAGATTTTTACTGAACCCTCTGAACCCAAAAAACCTGAAAGGCATGTTGTCTTAAAAAATGGCTTAAGTTACACAAATCATCAGAGCCAGGAACTGTGGAGCGACATGTAATCAAATCTAAGCCTACAATCATGATATTTCATTAAAATCACTTTATTCTCTTCTATGTCTCATTTCAACATGTGCTCAAAATAAACCAATTGCTCCAAACAGATTCCGAAAAAAAAAAAAAAAAATCTGACTTTTCAGCTCAAATGCAGGCTGAAAAAAATGGGAGATGAGATATTAAAAAAAATGCCATGAAACTGCTTGGGCTTCAGAGGATTAAGATGAACTACTTACTTAGTGTTAGATAATTTCTTTCCATTTCAACGTGTGCTTGTATGTTAATGTTGGGTTTCAGGGTTTGACTTCTGTGTGATTTATGTGTCTGTATGAAAAATCTGTTTGCAAAAGAATAAAAATTTGAAGGTATAGAGGTAAACATGATGAAAAGAATGTGCAGATTTCTGCTGTACACTACACAGGCTTCAACGCATCTGGTTTCAGGTTTCGCATCGATTCAGGCTCCTATGAGCCACTTTATCTCAAAGTGAGGAACTGTGGAAAACTAAGATCCTTGCAAGAACATTGTTATGTGGGACAGTGGAAACTCAGTGAAACATACTGGCTGGTAATACTGCGGCTGTGCAGGGGCGGAGGCAGGCGTAGGCATGGGCACCGGAGCTGCTGCAGCGGGTTGAGGCACCATGGCGGGCTGGACTGGGGTGTACGGATGGCGAGGCAGGGCTGAGCCGTGCTGAGTCTGAGGGGCAGGCAGCTGAGCAGGAACTCTCTGGGTTTGCACTGGAGCTGCAGCCGGAGTCGCTGCCTGCTGCCCCAGAGCCCGACTGAGACGGTCACGAAGCTGCTGTACGGCAGCCTGGAAGAAACGAGACTTAGGTTAGTCGCTGTGTCTCTAAATCACTTCGGTAAACTGTACACCAGCAGTGTGTTGCACCAGCTGAACTCAAGTTTGGGTTTAAAGTCAACATGAGAAATATCTTTATTTGTACTAATTCTATCCTAACAGAGTAATACAGTGTTTCACCGACTGCATCATTCTGGTAAATATGGGAGCGAAAGATGCTACTAAGTGGCACAATGTTACAATAGATGGCTGAAATGATACAAGAACAAACTACTGCACTGAACGAGCCAGCAAAAGATATAAATGGTTGCCTGTTATCTCATTCATAATTAAACAATAATTTATCGATTGCTTCTGTTGTATTGCAATTCAAATTTGGGACTTTTTAAAATCTTTAATAGCCTTTTCTTGACTAAACTTTTAAGAGCTGCTGATTTAGTGTTTAAACATGAAGACCTGTCAGCAGCAGAATGGAACCAGCTCCCACTTTGGGTTCAGGAGGCAGATACTTCTCTACTTTTAAGATTAGATGTAAAACGCTCCTTTCAGATTACTCTTACAGTCTGGGTTGTTCAGGTGGCCCTGAACCATCCCTTAATTATGCTGCTACAGGCCCAACTGCTGGCTGACTGCCTATGATCTCCTCTTTTGCTCTCTATACATTTTTATACCACCTTTACGTGTCACTAACTTTGTGTCGTCCCTCTCCCATGATTTGTGTTTTGTCCTCTCTGTAAGTATCTCTGGATCTGGAGCTAATAAGGAATGACTTACACATGCCCACAGAAGGGATGCATTTCAAGCTATATACCTGGTTGGTGTTGTCAGGCAGGTAGGCGATGGCAGTGGACAGACTGCCCTGCGAGGCCAGCAGGCCGGCGTACTGGCTCATCTTCTCAGCCAGCAGGATGCCAATAGCAGCCGGACCGGATTGCTGGGTCTGCTCTACTGCACGCCTCAACACCACCACCTTCTCCACCAGGTCCTGAGGGATGAAAATGCAGCAAGCATGACTTAATTAGAAATGTGTTTGGTCCCTTGGTGGAATTATGACTTTTGTAAAACTTGTAGAATTATGATTTTAGTTTTTACTCAACCAGCACACAAAGAGCATTTATTTGTAGACACAAAAACCCTAATTTAAAATTAACTATAAAAATGCTCGGTAACTGCTTAATATGCAAAGAAAAAACTGTTAGTGAAGTTTGTTGTGTCTGTTCAAAAGGTGTTAATGCTTCAGTGTTTCTCACTTGTTTCTACTGCCCACAAGTTGCAAAAAACTCCCAGTTATTACAGATTTAAGATGCTAAACTGGAGTAAATCTGTCTGCACACTCTATATACTGTATAGACCTGTAGAGAGAGAGGACAATGCCCATCCTGTGCTTTGGTCCAGCAACACACAAGTTTCTCCACGTTGCCAGCACAGATGTAACACAGACAGGCCTGGGACTGCAGTTGAGCATCATCTGCTGCCTCCAGTCTGCCACCGAGAAGATCTAACAAAAACAAGGTCGGTTAGAAAGCTGACAGACAACAACATTTAATCAAAGGTTAAATCCTGATATCAAAGAACAACATGAATGTGAACTCACCACAGAGGGAAGAGAACTCCTCAGGCTGAGCGTAGGTCATGACGGCGGCCAGCGCCTCCTTCCAGTTCTGCAGGTCACATGTCTTCAGGATGTCGTGCCAGTCTTTCATCACCACTGCACTGATCAGCTGCAGGACAAGCACACAGTCACATCGTTGATAATACACCCTTGATTTAAAAAAACTCTCTAAAAATTCTCCAAGTTGTTACCTTGGTAATCTTGCTGTGTGTTTTCGTAAAGTACTTCTTCTGGGTTTTCTCTAAGAGTTCAGTCCCTCCAGCTATAGCCAGGATGATGCTGTCCGCCATCCGGTTGTCATGGAGACAGAGCTCCACAGCTCCCTCAAAGTCTCCAGTCAGCAGAGCCTGTGTGATCAGCCCATCCACATCTAACACAAAACAAGAGATGTTTGACAATAACCAAACACTGCAGCCACTGATTCCAGTTGTAACATACACATTAATGTACAGACAGCTGTCATTGGGCTATTCTGATACTGAAGAAAACCTAAAAATGATGATTCCCAGGCATGTTCTAAGAAGCAGATCCAAGGGACATCAGAAGTGACACTGTATGCTAGAAGCACTGGATGTGTTTTGTGGATGTGTTCAAATTTGACTAAGGTGTGACTCTGAGAAGCACCACAATTTTTAACCTAAAGGTATCTAACATAATACCTTGGCCTCTTTGTTAACTCTCCTATGCCTCCCTGGAGAGGCTATTTTTTTTCTTTGTCCTGCTGAAAGTCCAAAGCTACCAAAATTTCACAATGGTTAAAATTCTGTCTGGATCGATGAGTTGGATCACTGAGGATAACAATATTTTATTCCTCACCACCCTCTGTAATGTTAATCCTGTCTGAATGGAGCTGAAGACTTTGTTAACCTCATGAGGGATGAACAGAGTTGCTACCTTGACTGATGCTGAGATTGACTCCTCCTGCAGGGGTTGGAACTGGAGGTGGGATCTCAGCCGGAGCTGGTGTCTCCACAGGACTGGACTCTTCCTCCACTGCGGCTGTCGTCTCCTGAAGCACCACAGAAACACCTCATGATGCTGACCAACAATGATTTTGACAATGTTATCTTACAGAAATGTGAAATCATTGTATGACTTTAGCACATTGAACTGTTTTACTGTTGCTGACTGTAATTCTAATGGTTGATCCTATTTGTTTTTTAATTATATAAGAGTTGGAATTACACCAACAAGGCATCTGAGCTCATATGAACCAGTAGCTGAATGCCTGACGGATGTTCTCATTGACTAAATGTGGCTCTCTGAGTGTTAATAGGTGCTCTGACACTGGGGCAGTTACCACAAACACATCAAACAAGCAGCTACTTGACTACTCCAAAATACCTCAAGTGTATGTTCTGGGTTGAACCCAGTGTGTTCATGCCCACACAGTCCTGACAACAGGTCCAATCAGCCAGAATAAATAACATCACCTTTATGACTTTACAGAGTGTGTGCAGGGATGCGGACAGCCCACAAGCCCAGCGCGAATTCTGAAGCATCCATGAAAATGATAAAGTTCTACCTCCTCCAAGGGGATCTCTTCCTCCTCCTCCTCCTCCTCCTCCTCCTCCTCTTCCTCCTCAATCTGCTCCTCTTTCTCCTCAGCCTCTTCAGTTTCCTCCTCTGGGAGAACCTGGTCCACATTTGCATCTGGTTCACTGATAAGAGCATCTTCTGGCTCCACCGCCGGTGCTGTTGGATCCTCAGCCTCTGGTTCTGGAGTGGAGATTAGTTCAACTGGGGCTTCTGGCTGCAGGTTTGCAGCAGCGATCATGTCGAACGCTGCCTCGGGATTGTCGGCAGGTGGCATAATGCTGAGGTCTGGTACAAGCTGCACAGTGGCTGGAGCAGGCACATCCACCTGAAGAGAGAGGGAAGATATAGACTCAGAGTCAGGGAGACCTTTGGTTATTTGGACAAGGGTGGGATTTGTGCACCTGTTAGACGAGCTTGAATCAGACAGTGTGAAATGATCTGTATCTGTCAGCCAGTTCAGGCATATTTTAAAATGAGCCAGCGAGTTTGAAAAGCATGTAATCTCTTTTTTTTTTCTTTTTTTTTTAACTTACCAAAATGACACCATTTATCTGAGCCAGAAAGTGTAAAAACAGAAAGAAGTGTCAGATTATCAACTTTCTGACAGTCTTGTGTGGCGTGCAGTTCCGTTGGTAAAAAAGAATCAAATCCTAGTTTAAAACTGGTTAACAATTTGCTAAAATTGAAATGTTTAAAATACAAAACATTCTGTGTTTTGTGGCGCAACCATGAAGCCATTAGCAACTCAGCTGCGAGCAATAAATATTCTGAGCCAATACGGGACAAGCTTAGACACAAATTAAGAGAACTAGGGAAAAATAAAACATTAATCAGTGTAATATTAGCAACTTGGTTCAAAAATGGTCTACAGAGGAGCAAGTTGTTGGAAGATATATTCAGAATTGTGAAAATCTTTGTAGTTGACGTGCAGAATGGTTGTAGAACTTGTAAAAATATTAACAGGCCTCATCACATAGTCCACCTAGAGCATGTAAAGCTACCATTTAGTCCCAGTATCAGTAACATTTGTGGCCACTGATTCTGCAGTGACAGAGCCACGTTAGCTTTTGTCAGCAAGAAAAACGCAGTTATATTTCTTAAAAGATGAAAATATTCTTTTACATTTGGCATTTTTCCCTGCATTGGTAAACAGTATCAGTAATACAGTAGTAAACTATCACAACCACAATGTATTGAAGGACAATGTGAAAGCGATCGCACAGCTATCATTCAAATTTAGCTGTTCAGCTAAAACTTTGCTGCTTTGTTTCACTGTCATCACTCTCATGATGCTGTTGTTGACCTGCTCAGCAACAAACAACAGGCAGGCACAGCTACAAGACTAGTTTGTAAACATATTGGAACATATCGCAGCTGAAGAGCCAGATATTTCCTCCAGGAGGTGGTGGTAGAGACCAAAAACAGAGCAAAAAACACTGAAGATTGGGGCTTATATTCATCAGGTAGACACAGACACCACTTTAAATGTAGGATAATGTTATTTAATAACTGCTGGATGTGTAGATAAGCAACTGTTGGCTAGGAGGTGCAGCATATCAGGTAAGGCTGTGATGACGTGTCTGTGTTACTGCTGCACCCGAAGGAGTCAACAAATCAGTCTTTGCAAGTTTAGCATTGCCATTGTTTTAAATATTTTCTCTTAATGAGCTTAAATGTTACATAATGTAGGTTTCCAAAATAGCCCACATGAATATTTATACATCCTGTGTGTTAACAAGCTGCCACTGTTTATTACAAAATGCAGTGATTTTGATATGTTATGCAATCTGAGTATTGTGGCGCTGTTTGGCCTTTCCAGTCCAAAAAAACATTAACAAGTACAAAAACAAAACCAGCCAGTGTTTTAAATTTACAACAGTTGGCTGGAAGCTTTCAGATTGCCCTTCACCACGCTACTGTACTCTCCATTTGTTCCTGCTCACTGTGCCGTTCACATTCATTCACTGGCACAGCAACAAACTGAACCACTACTGTTGGCAGTAATTAGAGCCACAGTTCTTGGCTGAAACAAACTGTGTGCCTCTGTCTTGTGTTGCGCAATAAGGAAGTGTTGCAAGCATCATAAAGAAGGAGCCTTATCTCAGTGCTGTAAATTCTGCTTCACCATTTGAAACTACTCACAGAAAGCTGGAAACTGGATCTGTGAGTACTTTCGATTTGGCTGTAGTAATTCTTGAATCGGCTGTGATTCATTGGACTTTTGACTCTTCCCTGTAAATGTGGATGGTGTTTACGGTCTGCTCCCTCTCTGGGGTGCAAATGTACTGTTTGGTTATACAAGATCTTTACTCAAGGGTTAAATTCAAACTGAATGCTGATACTTGGTTTTTCTTGAGTTTGTGTGCTCTTTGGCTTTTTTCCAAACTATGGTCTCCACTCAGAGATCTGCTTGACTTTATTAATTTGTCGCCTTCATTGGAACAAAGAGTCAATCCTGAGCTGTTGCTACTCCGAAATAGTGCTGTCTTTTATATATTTGATAACTATATTTATGCAAGTGCTGATTAAAACATCAGGTGTAGCCTTCTAAATTTCTAATTTAAAAAATAATAATTAAAAAAAATAAAAACTTTATTGGTCCAGGGTGGTAAAATTCTTCTTTTGCATATTCCAGGAAGCTGGGGTCAGAGTGCAGGGTCAGCCACACTAACGTCCCTGGAGTAGATGGGGTTAAGGGCCTTGCTCAGGGGCCCAGCAGCTTGGTGGTGCTGGAGCTTGAACCCTCGACCTTCTGCTCAGTGCATTTCACATCACTGCGTGTTTTAAAATACTAAAGGACCTCATTCAGAACTATTTAACGGAACGATGCAACTTGTGGAACTGAAGCGATGATTAGCCAGCGAGACCACGCCTCACTCTGATGCGTCCTTAACTTCATACAGTCTCAATTTGTTGCGTGAAACCGTCTCAAAGGAAAATAAAAACACACTGGACCAATAAAATAAATGTAGCATGGCTCAAAAATTGTATACTGAGGAGGAAGTTGTCGACTTTCTTGTGACTTGACAGTTGTGCTAAGGATCATACAAGTTTTAATTTTTTACAGGATCTGGTCCGAATGGTTTATTTTTTGCAAATTTTTGAATGAGACCTGTAGAATAAAATGATGATGACGAAATATCACAATTTTAAGCTTATGTTAGGCGACGTTTTCTGACAGAATGTATGTCACACGATATAATCACAGATGGAAAGTTGCCAATCTGAGGACTATTTCTGCTTTAACCGTTTCTGACTCTCAGAAATGGTGTAATTTTGCCAATTTTCCAGTGCCTTTTGGGTTTCAGAGGGTTATTTGGTATGCTTCATAGCAGCTGGTTGGTGGATTGAGTTTGCTTTGGCAAGAGTCTGTCTATCTGTTTCCCTCCTGTTTCCAGTCTATTGCAATGCCAAGCTTACCATCTACGACTTTAGATTAATATTGACTGGACAGAGATCAGAGTGGCATCCATCTTCTCACTGAACTTGTGAGCATATTTTCCAAAATACTTAACTGTTGCTTTTGCTTCTTTGAACAATCTTACCTTTGGAGGTTCGGCAGGTTTCTCCTCTAGTGCTGCAGAAATCTGAAAACAGACACATTAATCACAAAATGCACTACAAGAAAATACTCAACAGAATCAGTTTTAGTATATTATAGGACATGTTTTGAGCCAATACATGTGTAATATCATACAGTCACCTTTAAGGCCAGTTCCTCTTTGTTGTACCCTAGAAGTTCCAGGTACTTGCTGCGGATATCGCTTTCAAAATTAGCCTAAAAACACAAACAGCCATGTCAACATCATAAAGAATAACAGCATTACTTTTTTTGCAAACTGCACATTTCCAGGTTTTTCAACAGAAGACTCTTGCTGGATTTTATACCTTGAGGAAAGACCAAACAGTCTTTTCAAATTCATTTTCAGCCACATCGATCTTTCCCTGGCAGAAGTCCACGAAGCTGCCTGAACTCAGAGTGGCCTGCAGCTGATCGGAGCGCTTCAGAAAGGCTGTTTCTGTAACAACCTGGCTGATGTGCACAACGTGTGAAGTGGGCTGCTGAGGCTGCTGAGGGTTCGGCTTTGTGTTCTCCAAAGACACCAGCTTCCCACCGAACTAGGAACAAGAAAAGCCAAAAGATTTTAAATGTTTCAGGTGTGGGGGAAAAAAAAAAACAGCCTGCCTTCCAGTAAACATGAGGTATAGGGACTGGGACTCACGGAAAATGAGGCCCCCACAGGTCTGCGAATCCACTTGGGTGGCTTCTTCAGTGGGTTGACTGTCGCTGGAGGGGCCGGAGCCTGGGGCAGCTGCAGCGGAGGCAGTGTTTGTCCGGTCCCAAAAGGATCCATGTTTCCAAACGAGTTGCTGATCTGCAACAGAGACAACCAGAGCAAGGTTACACACAAACATGGACGGAGGTGGGAGAACATAACAGATAAGTATCTGTTTGCTTTTAAATGCCCAATAGCATCACACAATCACAGAGTATCTGATGCATTAATAATAAGAAAAGCCGCAAGCTGCAAAACATTCCAACAAAATCATAATACAATACAAAAAAGGATAATCATATGTTATTCTTTAAACCTGCTATAAGCTAACAGGTTCATTGTGGCTTTATCAGATTCAGAATCAGCTTTCATGACTAAATCTGTGTACACGTGTAAGGAATCTGATTTCAGTGGTTTCTCCAAAAGTACTTCATCCATGCAATTAAACAAGGGCAACATGCTGTCAGTTTAAAAGTTATCCCCTAAAATGCAGACTGCAGTTGGATTTCATACAGTATATGCAGACCTGTTTGAAGTAAAAAATATCCAGTCAGAAATTTTTTTTTTTTTTTTTTTACCTTGTCCTTCTCTTAAAGTTAAACTGCCTCCTAATTACACACACTATTGTTTTAAAGATCTACCTGGTCAGCATGTCTCTGGCTCTGTGCCGTGTTGCTGCCTCCCATGATCGAATAGATGTCGATGTGTCCATCGAAGCCAGCGGCCGACAGCACCGCAGGGTTTCTGGGGCACCACTGGATGTCAAAGCACCACTGGCTGCTGGTGGGCAACTCATACACAACCTGAAGATACACACCAATGACCAAAAGACCACATTAGAACATCACAAAGTCTTCTTCACTGTAATACACCTTGAGTAATCTACATGAAAACCTTTTACCTCTGCTGTGTTTGGATTCCAGCACAGAATCCTGCTGTCCTTCCCACAGCTCAGAAGCAGCTCAGGATCAGCCAAGCTCCAGGTGATGGCCAGGATACCCCTGTACGGAAAGAACAGGGCAATTACTTGAAGAATAGCACAGTCACATACTAATGGAAATCAACATATGCACAGGGGATAAGACTAATGACACTCTATTATCTTCTTATTGTAAAGAAATTCCAATAAAAACACCAAAACCAACAGCATGTCTCTCAGTGCTTCAGGATTTCTCCAGTCTTTTATTGGCTTTGCAGTCTGCTGGTTAATACTGAAGAAATAAATCTTTTTAAAAATCACAAATATATAATTTCGATTTTGGAAAAAGGCTAAACAAGTTTGTAAAACTGCTCGACTTTGATGTTCCTCAAACTTGGTAAACCACTGCATATTGGGGGATGATTTTCAGCAGCAGATTAGTCCACATTTGGTTCATTGGTAAATATATCAGGCAATCAGGCAGGAAGTGTCTGTGGGATTGATTGAAAAAAACTAAAGAGGCCATCTTCACTGTAATAAAGGAATATGCAAGAACAATGGAGCTCAACAGCACAAATGTTACAAGATATATATGGTTGTTTTTGGGTTGTATTTATTTTTATGGCATTTGTAATCAATAAGAAAAAAAACTATTTATATATATATACATACACATACACCCATAGACTTATGCTTTAACCTTCTATACCCCCGATAATTACCGGCAGGTTTGCAATGCATCTTGTCTTTGAAAAAAAATGCCAAAATGATACCATTCATCAGACCCAGAAACTCACAAAACAGAAAGAATCATTAAATATTCAACTTCATGACTGTTTTTTAATGTATTATATGTCAGCTGCAGTTCTGTCAGGACGATTAGCAATTAAGGTAAGCTTCAAATAGTAATATTTAGTTGAAATTACTCTACTCATTAAAAAAAAAAAAAAAAAGGCCAAAAATAAACTGCTTGATTAATTGCAGATTCTGTAAAAAAAAAAAAAAAAAAACAAGAAATTGTGTGCTCCTCAGCACAACAGAGAAGCCATGACTAAATCAGCTGTGACCAACATTCATGAAACAAAAATGTTCAGAGCCTTTTTGGCTGAGCAGAGAGGAGGCATCAAAACAGATTGAGAGAAAATAAACATATTGATTAATAAAATAAATATAGCATGGTTCAAAAATAATATACAGAGAAGAACATTTTCAAAAAATTGTTAGAAGATATATTCAGGATGGAGAAATATTTTCTAGACTAGTGCAAAGTGTGAAAAACCCAGAGTTTGAAGAGGCTGTAAAAATGTCAACAAATATATTTACCGTGTGTGATGCTCCAAAATCTTGAGAGGAGAGGTAGCAAAACGTAAATCCCACATCTGGATGACGGGCATCCGGTCGTCCTCTGAGGCCAAGACCAGCTGAGTGGCCACCTCTGGGTTCCAAGCCAGGCCGGAGCAGTGCATCTGAAAACAAAGGCATTGTCGTTACATTAGACCACTGCCGAAGGCTTGTGAGAACATGTAGCTGTGTTTTAATTCCAAACAGCAAGCATATGCTTCGTTGACAACGTACCCGGTTGCTGTGGTCGCTAACTTTGATAATGAGGTCATTCTTGCGAAGGTCCCACACCGAGGCTCGGCCACTCGGGCTTGCAGAGGCCAGGATGTGCTGGACCTGTCTGTTCCATGACACACAGCTGATGTCCTCCAGAGGCTTTAAGACAAAAACATGCCCTTTTTAATTTAAATTATTTATTATGGGGATCTAAACTGTGAAAAACTGTTATTTACACATATGAGCTGGTAGATTTGCTTTCAAAATATCATTGGATGACACAAAAATGCACACTTTACGACTACACGTCAGGCTGCGCCGATGTTGTTATGGTGACATTTTACAAATAACTTAAGCAAATTCCATGGGCAGAAAAATAATTCAAAATCATTTTTAAATCCTAATATGTACAATTGTAACATCCAAATCACAGGAGCAAGATAAAATATGTAACAAAATATTATTAGAAATGCTAAAAAAAAAAAAAATCAGATTCCTAAGACATAAGGGTTTGTTGGGTATGAGCGTAAAAAATATTACATCATCATTTACATTTTTTTTATTTAATAAAAAAACACTAAAATTTGAACCCATATTGCAATATCTGTAAAAAAAACAATATAATAATTATAATAACAATTGTTTTTTGTTGTTTTTTTGCACATCATTAAGCCGTTAATTTGACAGGAAGACAGTAAGACAGCATAATCACTGAACTTATTCAAGTACATTTAAATGAGTAAACGAGAAGTATAAAATATACTAGAAACTAAAAAAGTGCTGTTAATAGAGAAAGAAATACCTGTGTTTTAGGTCCTGGTGTCATTGGAGAACCAAAGTTATTCATATCCCAGATATAGATTTCAGACTCATTCCCACCTGATGCAACCAGGTTTGTCTGCAGAAAAAGAGGGAAAAACACAAAACAAAGTGCTGCATTTGGTTAAGTTTTAAACAGACACTATGTATGCACAACATTAAAGAGCACATATTATGCACATTTACAGGTTCAGCATTGTATTGTTGGAGTTGACTAAAATATGTTTGCATGCTCTAATGTTTAAAAAGCACATTGTTTTTCTCATACTGTACATTGTTACAGCACCACTTCTCAGCCTCTGTCTGAAAAACTCCATTTCAGCCCTTAAGGCTCGCCTCCTAAAAAAACCCAGTCTGCTCTGATTGGACAGATGCCTCGACAAAAGTGAGGTTACGTCGGTTATGTAATGTAGCTCCACATGTATGAGTGCAGGGACATAAAAGTAGCAGAAGCAGCAGAAATGGTGTTGGACTGTGAGGTAGTTGCTCATTCTTTGTCAGACCTGTCAACTCAAACTAGCTGCGAGGCAGACGTCATGACAACGTGCTACAATGTGATTGAGGTAAGTAACGGAATAAAAGCCTGAACTTCAAAAGGGGATTTTTAGGCAGTTAACGGAACAGATTTCTCTGTTTCACCTTTTCCATGCACAAAATCCATCAATACAACACAGTGAAGGAAAGAAGAAACGCAAAACATAGAATATGAGCACTTTAAAGATATTTAACGAAATACTTTTTCTGGTTTTGAACCAAAGACAACATTTGAATAGGTTAACTTGAGCTTTTCTCACTTTTCCCTAGGGTCGTCCTCAATCAGGACACCTCGGAACTCCCATTGTCTGTAGCCAACTGTCTACAAGATATGCCTTTATGTGCTGTAGCTGATTCATAATGTAGCCTATTTCATGATTGTTTCCAATTTTTTGTATCTATAAACATCAAGTATTACTGATGCTCTTTCACATCCACACTGATTTGAGTGGCAACACTTGCAGATCTTTTACAAGCACAAAAATGCAGATATATAAAAAACTGACGGAAAGGGAATAATATAGACAACATGGACTCTTTAAGCAGAGTGAAATGGATCCTACCTGGAATGGGTTGACGTCGAGAGCTCTCACTGGTCCAGTGTGTTTGTCACTCTCAGCGATGATCACGTCGCTCTCTCCAGCGATGATCTTTGCAGGGTCGTACAGGATGACGTTGCCGTTCTCACCTCCTGCGATAAGGACGCCAGACGGGTGGCCCTGACCGTCCATACCATAGGGACCCCACACTAGTTTGTGGTACCTGTGTGGAGAGAGGAGAACCTGTGTGAGCTGAATGGTAGTTAGAAAGAAGAGAAAGTCAACCCCGTTAGTGTGGCAGGAAGCTCTGTCCACCTGTGAGTGGAGGTGAAGCTGCCACATGATTTCATGTCCAGAGAGGGTTCGGACAAATCCAGCTCAAAAAATTCCAGGGAGGCATTGGTGCTGAAGGAGGCGTCCAGCTGCTGGGCTGATGTTCCTGCACAAACAGAGCACAGGAGCCTTTGGTATGGTGCAGCAATCATACTCAGTCAAATGGTCAATCAGCAGAAATGTGTTACAGAACAATTCTGACAAACAAATTAAGATTTTTTTTCCCGCAAATATACAAAAAATTTGACAACTACAGGATCTTAAATTAGAGGTCAACTGATGTGGTTTTTTAGGGGCAGATACTGATGACAACAACTAGCAATGTGGGCTACAAGCAACCAATATTTGGAACTGATATACATTTGTAATTAAACATTAAAATCTTGGTGTCAAAATTTTGAACACAAAACTTAGTTAAAATGCGTGTTATCTACAGTATATTACTGTTACAATCCCATAGTGCTGTAGGTGGGACATTGCTCAACTCCACAAAGGGTGATGACAGACTACTTACTAGAACCAAAGTTGCACATTCTTAAAGTAATTTACATTTTACATTAGGAATAAGTGTGAAAAATAACTTTTGGAAAACAACAGACTAATACTGCCCTGCATGTATTCCTATTCATATATATTGCATTTCATTCATACATTTTGTACAATCACCACAGAATCTATCTTAGAAGGTGCACACCCTCATCACAGTTTATTCTGATTTTAGCAAACAGGCGTGAAAGTGAAAATTGCTTACTTTTATTTCTAAACTAAGTCCAAGTTTAAATTCAAAGCAGCTGAACAGACATACACCATGAAATCTTGTATCTTGCCTTTGTTATATCAAAGATAACATCAAATATACTAAATTAATTGCAGCTTTTTTTTGTGTCTGCAATTTTCCAGTAGACTGAAACGACAAACAAGTGAAGTACATGCTCAGGGCATCAGATTAGTTTGTGTTGCCGTATAAAAGGCTAGAATGCTTGACAAAAATGATATAATGTCCTGTCAAAACCACAAATAGCAGCTGCAGCCGGCGGTGCTTGCTGCATGCTCATACCTGTTGCCAGGTAGATGGGGTGGTGCTGTGCAGGACTCCAGCTCTGGATGGCTGTGCGGTTGATCTCTTTAAGTTTCATCCTGGAGAAATAAAGGCAAATTTTTAACAATCACACAGTAATCACAACATTATATATACGAACAGACAAACACATAGATGTAACCGATTACTCTATACCGATATCCGATACCTTGTCAGAGGCAACTAGAATAAATTATGGCTTTATTTTGCTTTCTCTTGGCTCCTGAGGGAATCACCAGAGACGACAGAGTATCTGACGTATTTCAGGTCTGACAGGAATAAAACAGAGCTTATATTGGTCGGTTTCTCATTAGGTTCATGCTTAAATGAACAGCTATAATAGCTGTCATGGCTCCTGTTGTTGGCTGTGCAAAGATCCCTCGCCAACGTGAATGCAATCTACGCAACGTAATTATGTAGTTGGAAATTCTCGATTTGAGAAGTGACAGAACAAAGACAGATATCCATATAACTTGTCAATATGTTTTTAAAAAGCACTTCAACAGAGAAAAAGAACTGAATTTAATCAACGGCTCTTTTAATGCAAATATAAACAGCAGGAACAAACACAGCCTCTAACAACTCTTTCAATACACATATGAGTGTGTGTATTCAATTGTCAGCCTTTTATTGTAGACACACTTAGCTCCAACTAATGCAGTCAAACATAAATGCTAGCTTCAAGAATTTTGTAGTGTTCAGTTGTATGTTATGTGTTGTATGACCATCTTGAAGGTAGCAGTTTGTGGTGCCGTTCAACTGAAAAACTTTGCCATCTATCATGTGGTAACCAAATCATACAGCTTGTGAGTCACTTACAGCATGGACTCAGTATTCTCTGTCTTAGTTGCCATGTGTGTATATGCATACAAATATTCAGGGGTACCAGCATCGTAACTCTGCTTATGTAAAGTTAGCACTGAAATTAACCTCATAGTTAGACAGGTGCTCAACTTTGTCAGCTGTGACAGATTTATTGTGGCTGGATGTTTATTTATATACAAAAAAAAATCAGTCATTGGCTGTCTGCAACAACAACATAAGGTTAAGCAGCTCTTTAACACAGACATATTGACAAAGTAAGAGAAAAATAAAATAAGAATGACTGACTGGTTGTTTATGATTATGTCTATGTGCAGCCATAGCGATAGCTGAGAGAATCTGGCTAAACTGAGACAGACTAGTCAGGTATAGCAGTGCTAACTGCATGAGGCAGGTTTATACATATGCAATTGTGGTTTAATTCACACTTTTACTCCCCATCCATACTACTGCTCTGAAAAACAGGGCAGAACAGCATGCAACAAAACATTTCTTTGATCAATATCACAACTTGAGCCACAATTTTACACAACATGATAACAATGCTCAGAATAATATAGAAACAGGGTCATAACATAGTTTGCAATACTCAGTGCTGTCTGCAGCACATGTAGCAGAGACCGTATCACAGCTGAGTAAACAGTGGTGCAGAGTCAAGGGGTGTCTTCACTGCAAGCTGCTCAGTTGTTTGTGAAACTCAATGCTGGAATGTTTTTCAAAATAGTGCTTGTGATATATATATATATGTATAAACAAAACTGGCTGATATATTAGTATTTTTTACTCCCTTAGATACAAGCTAAAACAAATCGACTGTTGGGTTCTAGTACCTCTGTGGTCAAACTGTGAGCTTTTAATACATGAAAATAGTGTTTAGAAAGTGTGACTCTGTTCTTTGAAGGCAAGAAGAGGCAGACTAGTCAGATATGGTATAGTGTTACCTCTAAGAGGCAGGTTTATACACAAGCAATCCCATTTTAACTGTCAATTCATTCCACTGCTCTCATACATAGCATTAAATGAAAAGCAAAAAAAAAAAATCATACTGTAGTTTTTTTTGGATATTGAGACAGTGGTGTGAGTCACAGTGGTAGAGGAAATGGTCTGCTACAATTGCAAAATATTGCAACCATCACAATTTAAATATTGCACTTTGATATATTGTGGTAACATTCTGATTAACTGTTCAGCCCCACAATAAATATTAGAAACCAATGTCTGTATAATGCATTCAGTTCAACCACAACACCTCCCTTTCTTTTCAACATCAATAACTAAACATTTTTTTATTATAAAACAGACTGGAAAAGGTGTGACTCTGTCCTCAAAACGCAGCAGGCTGCAGACTACTCAGGTATAGCATGGTGTTAGCTGAAGGAGACAGGTTTATACACAAGTAATGACGGTTTTACTCCGACTTTTACTCCCTATCAGAGGTAACTACAGCGATTACAGGGTGACAGTAAAGGCCTGCTGTGACTGCCATCAAAAGTCTTACAGTTTGGAGCTGTGCTGAACGCTATAAATGTGACAGGAGGTCTAAAGGAACTGTGCGTATTTTTTGTAGTCTTTCGTTAACATTAGCAAACAAAAGTACAAGCTAGCAGCAAGCTAACAGCTGATGAACCATTTAAAAGCAACACAGGCATGCTAATAATGAGTCTCAGCAGTGATGAACATGACTGTCACTTATTGTGCACGCTCACTGGACATAGTACGGCTTGTTCTAGTAAAAATACACGGGGGTGTTGTGTGTAGTTGCCTGCTAGCAGCCTCTGCACTGAATAAAACAGAGGGGCGACAGTTACTCTCTCGGAGACCCACACAAGGATCTTATTACTCCACTAAGCCGTCTTACCTTCTCTTCTTCGCTGCTCTTCACATGAACGCACACATAAAATAGGCGACGAACACAAGCAGCCTCCGTCCGCACAGGTTCCCCTTTCAGTTCTGCTCACGGATTAACGGCTGAAACAACAGCAGGAGAGGCTACCGGGTCCCGGCAAGGCAGATTTCCACGTCCCCACTGGTCTCCATCAACGTGGCACTGAGCAACAGTCTGCTCCTCCCACGAAGAAGAAGCACAACGTCTTCCGGGGGACGACCCCCTCCCCCGTCTAGCATGCTAACAATGCTAACGTTACTTTTTTTTTAGTGTTTATTAGATAAAAGCTTGAAACTGTCCAAAGAAGGTGGCATAAGTCATATATGGAACTTTTGATATTCACGTTATTAAAGACGAAATGTTTATTTTGAATTTTTGTCATTATTTCAATCATAAAAAATGAAATATCATCCAAAATAATATTTAGGTAAAAAAAAATATTAATAACAAAATGGAATTCTAAATGTCCAAATTAAAAGTACTAATGTTGCAGAATGGCCTATAATTATTATGATTATATTCTAATTGTATAGTCACTGAATGAAACTAAGCACACTTACTCAAGTATTGTGATTAAGTAGAGTTTTAGAGTACTTGTACAATATACAGTAAATACACTCCTGGGCAATATCACTTAAATGTAGAATGATGTGACAAGAAGAGGGTTTCGAAAATCAAAACTTAAGAATTCCTGACACTTCAGCTCATTAAATAGAAACAATGCAACAAATGGAAATACATTTGTAATCACTAACACCCAAGACAAAAAAACAAGAAAACAAAAAACCAAAACTGTGATCACTGAACTAACTAAATAAGGACACCTGTGATTTCCAATCAGCCTAAATGTATGAACATAGTTAAAATGAGCTGTGAACAGAAGAACTTGTCATTTTTGGACCTACTGCCTGTCTATCTGCAAGTCTACATCATGGCTCCACAAAGAAAAGAAATGTAAGAGGAATTTAAAAATCTGATTGTAAAACATCACAATTATGGAAAAAGATACAGGAGTATCAGTGGCCAACCACAATGTCCCAGCAGTAATCAGGAGGTACAGAATGAGCCCCAGTACCACTGATCAGAGCTGCCACTTTCACAATTTAACTCTAAAAAATGAGATGGGCGAGTAATTCAGACTTGGCACAGGAGTTAGTAATGGAAATAGGAGTTTCAGTTACAGCTCAGATTAAAAAGAAGTAAAAGAACAGTTCCTAACATCCATCTGTATGGACAGATAGAAAAAAACAAAAACCTTGCTTTCTCTTGAGCACAAAACTGCAAATTCAAAAATTGTTAAACTACATGAAAAGAAGTGTGGTGAATGTTGGGAGCACATTCTATGATCATATGAGCCCAAGATGAATTAGTTTGTAGTAAATTTAAACTTTTCAATTTCCATTTTACATGAGAACAAGTACGCTACTGTTCAACTTAAAAACAATTAATAAGGTGAAACAATTTAGAATCATTTGACATTCGTTAATATTATGCAGCAATACACTCATTTCCATTGTATATTGTACTTTATCTCCATGTTCTACTTTGCATATTAAATACAATAAACTTTACAGGAAAAACTATGTACATTACACCAGTTAATGTACAAAGGTATATATAAAAACACATTAACAGAATTAAGGTTTGCCATAGAAGTTTTTAAAGGAAACCCATCTTGTTTTCTTTTAGTAAAAATGTACCAAGAGTCCAAAGTAAAGGCTGCTTTATATGGACAGTCACAAAGAAGACTTGGAGGCACTGGTTTAATCTTTGACAACCCATTAATGTATAAGTTTAATCTGTGAAGTAATGAGAACCTCTAAATGTAGAGAATAAAACAGCATCAAATTTGAATAACAAGAACCTAAATAAGTATGAGTTAAATAAATGTTTCTTTCCACCACTGCCACCCAATTCTGACAATGATAAAAATGATTATTTGCAACTATAAATACTCAAATGTGGGGAAAAAATGAACACCCAGACACACCAGCTTTGTTTCACAATTTGTATTTATTTGGCAATGACCTTAAAAACAAACCAATCAAGTGAATATGGCAGATGTCCTTGTGTTGCCGACACTCTGTCCTCACCTCAGCTGCTTGACCCTGAAAAAAACAATGGTATCATTAAAATAAACTCTTTTCACTTAGAAGTTTAAAAATTAGAGCACAAACCCTCAGTTACAAGCTCATGAATAATCTTCCCCAAACATAAGAATGGGTCAGATGGGTAGTGATTGATATCATCATTGGGATTGTCATTCATTGTACTATAGAAGAACAAAACTGCAATACATACGTGTCAGGTCCACATGGCTCGTTTCACTGGAACTTTTCTTCAGCTGATCTGTAAAAACAAGTTATATTTTTACCTCAAGTGTAAAAGTATTTGCATTTTGAACAATCGGCAAATAAAACCCAATCAAAATTGAATTTTCCTTCTGGGATAAATAAAGTATTTTTCATTTCATAACATTTGAAATCATTTGGCTGTTGAAAATTAAGTGTTAGGATCATAAAACGCAAGCCGATTTGTTACGTGGGTTCTAAATTTTCTAAAAATGTCTTGTTTTGTGTCCTGTTGGTTACGAATTTTAATAAATAAGCAAGCTCTTACAAAAGAGGCAACTTTTAACTAGAAATTTGGTGTGGTGCTCATCTGACACGCAGGAACACGTCGAGTTTTCTTTTTACTACGTGTTCTAGCGGTGGCGGGCTGCGTCTACTACACATTAACACGAAAATTAAGCGTCACATCGGGTTTGATTAACAGTATACTTGCTTAATTAATGATCATTTCTGCCTCCACGTGGTAAGACGGCCCTTTAGCTAACACTACTGAACAAAACCTTGTTTAAAAAGCGGTTAAAAAAAGAAGAGTGAGCTAGTTAGTTACATCCATCGACTGCATTCATTCAATAACCACAAAACGCTCAGTTTTTTGGAGCAGGTACAGGCAGAATGTAAGTTCTCCTACCTCAAACAGAACTCCTCTGGTGAAACAGCTTGTACCTGATACACACGTGCCAATTTTCCGCTAACTTCTTCGTCCTGTCCGCTCTGTGCGTTAGCGCCACTTGCTGCCTGGGCTGTATCTGAGTTGTGAGGAAGACTGGGCATGCGCATTGAGGAGTCTTACAGGGAAATGCCACCAATTTCCCACATTAACGTCTATAAAGGCTCCAGGTGTAAATGTTACAAACTATTTATTACCATTTCGTATGTGAAAACATGCGTGATTGAGAGTGCAGCTGCTCGAGCCTCTCGAACACATATAATGTGCCTAAATCTGCAAGAAAAATAGGCAGCTACCGAGTTGTATCGTGGGTAATGTAGGTTCCAGCTCATGACAACAATATCCATCCATCCACCCTTCCATTATCTATACACCGCTTAACCCTCACTAGGGTCGCGGGGAGCTGGAGTCTATCCCAGCTGACTTAGGGTGAAGGCAGGGGACACCCTAGACAGGTCACCAGTCTATCACAGGGCTACACCTTCAAACAACCAACTTAGAAATGACACCAATATGGGGAATGAAATTCTATCTCTGGTTCTGCTGTGTTAATTTTGATCATTCAAAATCTTCCTCATGCATTATTACAGGAGTCTCAGGGACTTTTTTTTTTATTTATCTTCAAACAACATTAGGCTAGTGATCAACCAATAAGTGACAACTACTGAAGCACTTTGCCTAAGATTTCACTTTCGTGGCAGTGCTGCTGATAGACTTGCCTAATTATGTTTCTTTTTTGGGGTTTCATTATAGACCACTGTGCATTTTTTAAAAATAGCAATAGTACTGCCAGTTAATAAGGTAAATTCTTCTTCTTGTTGGTTGCTTGTCAAGCACACTGAACTGCATCAGATTTGTGTGAAAAGATTTTTTTAATGCTCAATATTTTTTTTTAAAAATGGACTCAAAAATCCATCTGTATTAGATGATGTTGTTTGGAGTCATAGGTAATAAAATGAAAACAAAACTGAGACGCTATACTAGAATGGTGGTGAGCAAACACTGTTTTCACTGAAGAGGAAGTGGAACTGGGCGCATGTAAGAAACTGTGGAGGAGCAAAAGTGAGCTAAATGAATTGCCGTAGGAGCTCTACTTCATGCCAACATAAAAAGATCTGCCACAGCATGAAAACCACTGGACTAATATTATGTAGGTCCCGCTCATGGCACCAAAACATAAACCTCTAAAGGTGTTCTGTGGTGTCAGACACCGGGATGTGGGCAAAGACTTCTTTGGGTCCTGTAGATTGCCGGGTGAGGCCTGAGGGGCTCGAGCTTGTTACTGCGTTTCCTGCAGATACTTCATCAGTTTGGACTCTGGAGAGTTTAGAGGCAACATCTTGGTCTCTTGGTTGTGTTTCTCAAGCTGTTCCTGAACAGTTTTTGCATTGTGGCTGCAAGGACGGTCCTGCTGCCATGAAGGGATTTGCCTGCTCACCTCTAGTTAGGAACAAATGTCAGGGACATCTCTAAACAAGTCATTATTTTTAAAGTCATTGTGTTTTTAATGTACAGTAAGCATGTGACTAATAAAACATGAGACAGCACCGGGAGAATCGTGTACCTCAGTTAGTGTAGCCATGTTTTCGCTATTCTGAGCAGTGCTATGTATTGTTTAGGGGTGTGTGTGTGTGTGTGTGTGTGTCTGTCTGTGTGTGAGTGCGTGAGACTGCATTCATCTTACAATTGCATTTAGGATTAAAGCAAAGATTGCCTCTACTTATTTTCATTGAAACAATTTAGCCTAGCCTTGGTTAATTAACAGGTTGCAGCACTATAAGCCACACAATATTAGCGCTCACAATGATTAACAATAAAAATAAATATCAAAAGATACATGTTCTGTTTGTCTACCGTAAGCACAAATATACTGATTACGTAAAAATTACAGGCATTTTTTTGAAAACCTCGAAATGAAAAAGAATAACAGGAAATCAGGGTAAAATGGAAGAACAAACAGCTTTGATAGGGCCTTGAAGGGAAGTGAAAGAATGCTTAAATTCCTGTTTAGCACGACCTCACTCAGTCTTTTCTGTGCATCACAACCAGGTGGACAAGTGTGATGATAACTTGAAAGGCAGCTCTGTCCATGTGTCCTTCAGTTAGGTGAACAGTGCAATCTGTTCCATGTTTATTATTCCAGCTGGCCTTTGCTTGCCTAAGGCGGGGGGATCTGTCTGCCTTCAGGTTATTGTTCTGCCTTCTGATGACGGAGAGAACCTGTTTCCATGCAGGACAGAAACTCCAGGGGTCCGAGACAGAGTGCAAAGAAATTCATGTGTCTCAGCGCCCCCAGCTGGGGAGGGTCAGAGGGCGGAGAGCGTCAGGAGAGCTTGGCCTAGCAGTTGATAGAGGCACAGTCTGCTTTAGCTTTCCCCGCCGAGCTGATTATCCTCATGAGACAGTGTCCGAACTCCTCCAGGATCAGCCTCTCTGCCTCTGCCTGAGGCTGATGAGTCTGTTCTGCCTTTTTGGCCTGTTCCAGCAAACACTCGCACGTCGCTTCTAAAACCTCCTTTGTTACAAACGTATACGGAAGCCTGTTGATAAAAGGAAAACAAGGTCTTAGTATGAGAACACATCATCCTTAATGCCATAAGTCGATGTTATCTATTTGCAGAGACGCTAAACAAGGCAGTTTCTGCTGTTTCACATTAACTTCTCAAGTCTGAACTGATTTTTTGTTCCCGTCACATGCTTCCCTCACATTTTTCACTGTATTTTAAGTCCTGCACATCTATAGAAACAGCCCAACCATGACTCCAAAAATGTCTTCTGTGCAGTATAACAAAGGGATAATGCCATAAATCATTAAAAACTACAAAAAAAAAAAAAAGTTTCACATCTTTGATTACTTATTTTACAAAAACAGAAAAAAACCCTACATAAACATGTACAACTTTTTTCCAAGTGGCCAAAGCTGTTACCAATACCGGTATAAAAAAAAAAAAAAAAAAAAAAAAAGAGAGAGAGACTGCACGTACTAGAGACATTTTACTGCTTACATTTTTCAGCGTCTACAAACTGCGTTTTTCACACGACTCTGCATATTAACTCTCGAACATCTCAACTCTGTAGGCCATGAGCCACATTTATCACGTTTGCTTTATTTTCCTCTCAGTCTCTCTAATTTGTTTCCATACTTGTCACCTGCATTAGAGCCAAACAGTCCCTGAATTTTTGTCACATGACTGGAATCACAGCTGAGCCACTCATGGCCTCTCAGTTTTCTTGAGGAGTGGAAAACATTATAATTTTTTTCAATCATTTATTATTAGTATTATTATTATTTTTACAATATCTTGTGCAGAGTATATATTTCTGGCAAATTAATAAAAGAGATGTAAAGTTCGTAGAAAAGTGTGAAAGTGTTTGGAGTACCTCCCGCCTCCACTTGAAATAACAGGCGTCGTCCTCATGAGCAGGTCTGAGATCTGTGAAGACAGTTTGGTTTTGGCTGCCGTCTGCTGCTGTACTCTCACTTCTGCTGCATCGGCCAGGTGCATCAGCGTCTTCCTCTCTGGGCTTTCCTCAAAGTTTTTGCAGCCAATGCATTTACAAATGGATGAGCACATGATCTTCGCCTATGAGGTGAAACAACGGAAAGAAATGAAAAACAAACAAATATATCACGGTCAAGTGACAAAGACAAAACAAAGTCATATTAAAGCATTACCAATAAAGGGAAAACCCACCTCGTAGCACTCGCAGTAGTTCTTCAAGCAGCCTGATCGTTTGCAGTTGCAGCCTTTACTGTGTCGACGGTCCGACTCTCCCTCTTTGCCTTTACCAATTTTAGGTTTGAAGGCCTCTGGATTTCGATCCAGACACGTCTGTGAAAACACATTTTCAACTTCATTCATCACCGCGTCTGACAGCAAGCTGCTCAGCCTAATAACTCACAAACTGAACTTGTACCTCACCTTTATGGCTTTGAGACGTTCTGTTTCGTGTTCAAGGTTATTGAAGCAGTTATTGCAGTTACAGTTATTGCAGAACTCTCCATTGGCAAAGCAGTCACAGTATCTAGAGGAAGACAAGCAGAGCTCTACTTAATTGAACTGCCTGAATATAAATGTGAGTTAGCAGCTTCGTGCCTCATCGTGGTCCCCAAACACAAACAGAAGAGGACTGATTCCATTTCTAAGATTATTTTGCTGCCAGTTCATAAAATATTTGGAATATGGCTGCCATGACAAACTATGCTCATTGCTGGTTAATCTGTACATTTTTTTCATGGATTAAAAAACAAATCTTTGGGGTCATAAAATGTCATAAAATAGTTGAAAATGTAGAAGTGGAAGCTGTGATACTAGTTGTCTGTCCAATGATGCAGGGGCCCAAATATTCAAGTTAATGTCATGAGACACAAAACAAACCAGCAAATACTCACATCTGAGGATCTGCAATAGGTCAGCTTTTGACATTTTTACTTAAAATTCAAGATTATTCAGATATTTAAAAACAACAAAAAGGTACCATTACAATTTACTTGTACATAAATAGAAAAACGAAAATAAACATGCATTAATGTCATGAAGCTTCATCAGACTGATACAAAACAGTTAGTTTTAATGGCAGTGATACTTACAGTTTGAGACACTGTGACTTGGTGCAGTTGCATGGTTTCCTTGGTCTCGAGGTTGTTTCTGCTGCTGACAAGCTGTAAACCAATAAATGATATCACTGAGATTAAAAGGAAATAAAAGAACATTCGACCAATCAGTTAATACAGTGTCAAAATCCCAGTTGTCATTTGTTTGTCTAATGTGCCCTTTGGCAGAATTACAGTGAGGTACATCCAGACTATTATGTTATACAGATTGGGCCGGCAAAGCAAGACTGGTTAGTCCTGTAACGCACCTTGCGCCTGGACGCAGTGTGGTGACTGTGCACAGGTATTTTTTTTGGCTACAACAACACAACTGTCACTCCTCTCCCAGCCTTCTCACTGCTTTAGGCTGCCTGTGACTTCTTCCTCTTCCCAGAAACAAAATTCACGTTGAAGGGTCACTGTTTTGACACAGTTTAAGAGATTCAGCCCTCATCACAGATGGTGCTCGACATGTTTACATAACAGGACCTTCAGGGATCGCTACAAGTGTTGGGGAAGCACAGGGAGCAGTGTTTGAAGCACAAAAAGACTGCTTGGACTAGGATGGTGTCCAAACATCTATATCGTGTACAGTTTTTGATTTTTGTAAGCAGAAGATCTCAGAGCTTTTTGATCAAACCCTGTAGACTGTTTCATACCGGTTTAGAAAAAAACAATTTCTAGTTGGTGTCTTAAGTAGTTTGCAAACAAATCAATGTAGAATTTAATTTAAAAATAACTGTATTATTCCAGTTTTTCCAAGTAGACGAGACAGTTTCTAATTTCTGTTTTAGTTTACAAGATTGTTCTAATCTACTTTTCATTTTTAGCTTTTTTTTGCACATAAACACATAAACAATGACCATTCAGTATTTTCACTTACTGTATATTCTTACTTTAAAAGTGCTTTAAACAGAATAGAAGTGATTCAGTTGGTCTGTCTGCAATACGTTATTTTTTTAATTATTTTTTTAAAAGCGCAAATTACAGAATTGCTTTGTTGGCTTCAACCCCTTCTTACCCATTCAGAGGCAACCTAGCCTGAGTCTGGATGCCAGTGGACGCAGGGAAACCAGAGCTGCTGGCAAGCGTTACAAATGGTGACTGCTGGAGCTATAAGACAGGCAGAAAACGCAACAGAAAAAGCTCAACACACTCATATAAAACAGTAGTCGATACATATACAGCACACCAGACAAAAAAACATCCTAACCTGTGTGACATATTGTGCTGGCACCACTGCATAGCCCACGTTGCCGCTTCCAGGAGCTGGTGCCAGGACAGTGCCTGGAGGTAGGTTGGTGAAGTTGGGCTGGATTTGGGGCAGTGGAGTTGCAGGCATGATCAGGCGTTGCTGGGTCTGAGTGGTGGTTACTACTTGTGCTGCTGATGTCAAGGGCTTAGGAGCCACCTGCAGGGAACACAATCCATTAATGCAGTTCAAGGGACATGTCACCGAAAGATCCATTTGAATGAACATGAACAGAAAGTCGAGGTTACCTGCTTCATGGTCGGTGGTGGGACGATTGGGACAGACATCCTGACTGCTCCTGTACTGACCACCATGGGTTTAGCTGTGGGACATTAAGCACCATAAGTCACCACAGAACATCCTCCCAGTGTGTCTTTACGAAACAACATGAAGGGCCCTCTGGGTTTGTTGGCAGGGCTTACCTGTCTGTAAGGAGCTGGTGCTGGGACCGCTGGGCTGCCCTGTGCTGCTCGCTGTGGTTGCTGTGACGAGGCGAACGTAGTGGAACCGGCTTCCTGGCACTTGAATCTGCTGCACATTCGGCTGGGTGGCCAGCGGGATGATGGTCTTAAACTGGGAACCACCAACTCCTCCCACAGCCACAGACTGCACAGGTTTAATACTCTGAAAGACAAAACATGACAGGAAGACATTTAACTTAAATGTAAAAACACACCAACAAAGCACATTGCAACTGATGCAGAAAATACTGTGATGAGAACACCAAATGCAAAGATATATTTTCAGTTGTTTTTTTATTTTTGCAGAAGTTAATTTACATTTATTTGTCTGTTTCCCAACAACTCAAACCTTTGTTATAAATGTAACATCCATAAAAGGCACGTTTATCCATCTGTTCTGGTCATATGGTCACTATTGGATATGCAATAAATAGGAGACAACAAGAGAGATTGAGAGGAAAATAAAACATACTTGATCAAAAAATTAAATGCAGCATGGCTCAAAAAATAGTGGACAGGTGAACCAGCTGTAGGCAAGTTGTTGGAAGACACATTCAGCATGGCGAAACATTTTTCTAGAGTTAATGTACAGGGTGGAGTGAAAAAGTTTGCAGAGGTTGTAAAAATGGTAGTAAAATATCTCAAGTATGTAAGAGCCACCATTTTCTCCAGCATTGTTAACATATGTTGGCACTTGAGAGAAAGTTGCACCTGCTGATTCCATTTTTTTCCAAGCAAATAATCAAAGAAGTCCAACTCTTTTTATTCTTTTCTGATTTATGGCATCATTTTTGAGGTTCCTTTACTCATAGCTGTCAATGTGTTGTTTTCATAGAGGTGCAGGACTTGGAAAATTGAGCCCACAGTGAGTAAATATGTGACAATATGTTTGTATAATTTATTTTATTTATACTGTATTTTGATCCTATTTTTTATTTTATTTTTTAAATGTATGGCATTAACACAGTACTGAGAGAGAAAAGTATTTTCGCTTCCTCTGTATGTCCTGGATATATATAAAGAAATTGACAATAAAAATGTTCTTTTGTATTCTATTCTATGCTATTCTATATGACCAAAAACTGCCCAGAAGCAGTTTGGGCTTAACGGGGATACAATGAAAAAAAAAATAAAAATAAGTAGAACAGATATCAGCTCTTCTTCCACTGGAGAAATTCATTGGTGATCTGTATCATAAATCTGACAAATTCAGGAGACTTTGAAAACCTTTGAATTACTTTTTGCAAAGACTGATATATTTGCTTATCCCTGGACGGCTAGTGCTGATTGTTTTATCTGTGTGTCTCACTTATTTTCCATTTTATTCCTGTACAATCTTATAGTCTTTAATTTCTCTATATTGGTATGGGGTTAGACTTTTCTAATTTGTGTGGATGTATTGCTAATGAAAACAAAGCCCCACCAAATTACTTAGCTTAGTGAGATCTATGTCATAAAACAATGAGTGCAAAGTGCAAAATATAGCAGGAAGACCAGATGGTTGTAAAATAAAACAAGCCCCTGTGAATCAAATTATTTTGTATTTGCTTTTCATTCAGAAAAATTTCTTTCAAGGGGTAAGAGTGCACACAAAATAATTTCTGTTTCGCAAATAGGTACAACTAGCATACATCCCACAATAAAGACACACTTTCAATTAGATGTCTTGCTGTCTTTACCAAAAAAAGAATAAAACAAAAGGTATCAAAACCTTAATAAGAGACACTAAAGCACACTGTATGACAGTCAGCTGTGACAGTTTTACCCTGCTACAGATGGCAGGAAGCAGCAGACACACAGCTGTCAGTGGTGTGACGAAACTCACAGGTGAAATCTAATTTTATGGCTGCCAACACATGACGGTTCAATATGCCTAAAGAGAGAATACAGTGACAAGAGTTTAGTGCTCAAACTAAACAGAGCTGTAATGATTGTTCAGTGAATTGATTAGCTGATCCCCCAAAAATTAACCAGCCATTACACTGTATAAAATTAATTGTAATCATTTTTAAGGGAAAAGAGACAGCAGTTCTCAGGATCCAGATTCTTTGTTGTGAGGATTTTATGCCATTTTTTTCTTCATGTGACAGTAAACCGAATATATTCAGACGTCACCACTTTCTGACATTTTAGACCAAATGATCAATGAGTTATTTGAGAAAATAAGTTACTGATGATTTGATACTAAAATTAGTTTCAGTTTCTCTGCTACTTTGAACTCATCATTAAAGTAAACATAGCTTTTTAAAATGTGCCACACCTATCAAGTTGACACACTGTGTGCAGTCTTGTTTTACATTAGAGGTGACAGTGTCCTCTGTAATGCCCAGAAAACTGTCAACTGAACAAAAGCATCCCCACACACTTCACTGTCGATACAGAACAACTCATCTCTTTCAAGTCCAGATGTGCATATCTCCAGCCGGCAAGTTCTGTGCTTTGATCTCACCTGTGCTGTAGTTTGGCTGGTGGCCACTTTGACTGGAGATGCAGATGTGGACTGCTGGACTGTGAGGATCTGTTGGCCAAGTGCTACATTGACGGGCAGCGCTACAGACTTCTGAGAGGCGTTGGAGGTCGGCGAAGCCACAGACACCACAGTCACCTGGCAGAAACCAACAAAAAGAACACAGATTTAGCAGTGCAACTGTCCCCAGGATAGGTCCGAGCAACCTAATGCCAAACTTCTGAAAATGTGACTGACAAGTTATGGACAACTCCAAGCCAGAATGTGGTGTCATGGAGCTATTGGATTGAAAAGGAAACACTCCCAACTTATCTAGGCAGCATAAAAACAGACATGGGGAGCTTTGGCTTTCACCTTTATTAACACGTCTCCAAAATGTTCACATCCTGACATGTCTTCATTTGTGAAATGCAACAGTTGCACCTGCACACAATGTTCCCAAAGGCTAACATTATCTTGTTTAGGCTAACTGCGGTTTGTCCTGGCTCAGAATAGTCCTCTGGGTGTTGACTACACCCAACAGTGAGCACAATTAGAAATGTGCATTAAAAATACTGAAATTGTATTATCTTATTTGACAGAAATATATGCATTTTCCTGCCATTTCTGTATATTTGATTTTGAAAATATCTATTCTGCATGAGTAAGTGAAACGCCAGTTAACAAGATTAGAAAAAATATTCCTAAAAATTCTCATTTCTTATTATTTTGACTCTTGAGCTGCATACAACCACTTTTAGAACGAAATAAATCCACCTATGCAGGAGAAACTCTGCTAACGCAGCAACAAAATCTTACAATATGAGCTGAGTGCTCTTTGTAACATCAGCAGGTTACTGTCATAACCATGCAGTCTGTCAAAATATAACACTGTGTGTGGCTGTGTGCAAAAAGCATCGAGTGTATAAGAGTGTAAGTTAAAATACTTTGACTTGATTTACTATTTTTGCTGTCAAAATTCCTGGAATTTCAATGGTATTAGAACCTACTACCAAACTTCTCGTGTTGTGGCATCCCTAGCAGCCAATATATCACTATTTTACAGACTACAAATGCCACTTAGACCCTGGTTCTGAGTGTATTTTTTGCCTCTCTCTCTTCCCTCCTCTCTGTGTTGCTGCCTGTTTATACATTAAACTGAACACAGTTAGGAAAACACTGCCTCAACAGAAATGAGGACCAGTCTGCAGAGCCTACCTTGCTGGGAGTCTTGAGGGGTGAAATAGCAATCTTCTTGCCAGGGATGCTTTGTATACTAGTGTTGTGTGGCTCAGAGAGAGTGATGGTCCTTGGGGGAATCCCTGGTGAACTCTGAGTCAGTACCCGTCCTAAGAGACGGAACAAGATGTGACAAAACATGGGTTACTCTGACAGCAGACAACGATAACTGCCTCCACCAACAAAAAAAGTCAGCACTGAGAAATAATCACAAAAACAGTAGTTATTTGAACAAACTTACCTGCAATTACAGGAGGAACTGATGTCTGCGGACTGAGACTTTTGCTGTTAACAGTTTTTGTGATGATAAACTTGATAGGTGCAGCTGAAGATGCTGGTGTTTTCTTGGCAATCTGAAAAGACATTCAGTAAAATCAATGTGCAATTCGTATAGTTGTTTTGCTGTGTTCTCTCCAGATGTACCGATGTTAACACCTGAGCTCTGGGTGCTCTCTTTACATTGAAATTGTTAAAAATAAAAGACAATAACAATATATAAAGAGGTTTTCTTTTCTTTTTTTATGACCACATACATCTAGCTTTCAGTGCTCTGACATACCAGCTCTGAAACAGTGACAGTTTCTAAAAGAAGTGCCATTTCTGTTCTACAATGTCTTTTCACTTATTTGCAGTTGGAAACGCTGATATCAAAACAGCTGCTTTTAACTCGTATCAGCCAATACGCCAGCCTTGCTGAGCTATTTTTCCTCACACCAAGTACTAATTGACTATCAGAGTTCCTTTATTTAAATCTAAAATATTCAAAGTAGTATAAATTACAGGGGTCATTCTTCTATAATATCTTCTTCTGTAATCCAGCATGAGGAAGTAGCAATTACTGTTAATCGTTCTTTATAAGCTTGTGCAAATTTTTATGACTTTAATGTCTTATCTGACTTGTACCTGATCCACTCCAGAATATGAATCAGTGCTGGTGACACTGATCCATCGCTCATTTTGTCTAATTGAGAATAACTTTTATTCAGAGAACATTTCTGAATATTCAGGGACTGATGTGTGGCTGAATAAATCATGGTTAAACAACAAACAGTGTCTGAGGGTCATTGTACATTTAAGATATTGGCATAAATGCAAATGCTTAAAATAGTCTGACATTTTAAAGAAATATTAGCAAGTGCAGGAGTGCAGCAAATAGAGGTGCAATGCTAAACTGATTAGTTGTCAACCAGTGAATTAATTTCCAACTATTCTGATAATGGATTGAGTAGTTTAAGTATTTTTTGAGCTTTCTTTGGCAAAACAACTAATTGATTAACTGGCATTGAAAAGAAGTGCAGCCTGCAGTCATCGTACCAACAGACAGGCGTTTAGACACAGAGAACTAAAGGGGCTTTAGCAAGTTCATAATGCAGTAGTCAGTATTACAGATTATTAACTTACTAATCTATTCATTGTATTAGCTTTAATTAATTGTACATACTCTCAGGTTTGTGATACGGCAAAATCTCCAGAATTTCTCAACTTAAATAACTATGGAGTACAACTGAACTATCCATTTGTTGTTTACTATTTGTACAGTTACCATCTTGCACAAAACTCTACAGGTAATTTCATAACACCTTGAGTACAAATATAAAGAAAAGTCAAAATAAACGGCTGACTTTGCTTTCATTTACTAAACTGACTAACCATTCTTCGCCTGTCTTCTGGTCACTCTACTTTTACTCATAGGTCACAAAGACACAGTGCAAAAGGTATTATCTCCCATTTGGCCACATTTAGGGCCGACGCCGATTATTGGTAATAAAGAAGATCGACAACTGATATCTAGAACCGTAATAAGTTTGCAACAAAGATGGAAGTTTACAATAACTCAAACTCCAACAAGAAACATTCACTGAAATTCTTTTGTGTATTTATATTTCACCTATGTTTGACTAAATCAGAGCTTTTTCAGTTATCCTTCAGTGTTATTACTCATGACTAGTAAGGAGTCAGTGCTGATGGCGAAACCTTTACAAAGATCACAGAGTGAAAACTACGCATAGAGAGGGACGACTGCATCGGAGCTAAAATATCGCAATTTTAAATTGCTTTATTTGATCAGGAATTGGCGGGAAAAAAATCGAACACTGGTAATTAGAAAAATGTTGAATATCAGATCCTAATCAAACCAATAATCGATGGATCCCTTGTCTTGTCATTTGCCCTCAAATCTTCTCCAAAACACTAACCTGTACTTTGAGACGAAGGAATGCAAACAAATTGTTGTTTCTTGACTTTCTTATCTCCCCATCAGGCAACTACTCAACCGAGCTGCATGTGTTCTGTACTGTTCAGACAGCAGAGTGACACTGTTTATTTGACTAACTGTTCTTAGGTGGTGATGTTTAATGTTACCTTATAATCAGGCATTAAAGCCTAAGTAAATGTTTACTTCAAGCAAAGGCCACAGAACATTTATCCACAGATGGCAGACACCAAAATCCAGCCAGTATAGTTTTTATTACAATGGCTTCTCCTTAAATAGTTTGTAACCAATTTATGTAGTCTTACTGCCAAAAACAAAAAAATCTGCAGTAGTAATTACTTTTACTTTAACACCAATATCCACTTGTCTAAATATTGCTGTATATCACAAATCCACCAGTGTTACCTGTACAGTCTTCAGCTGCTGGGCCTGTAATGTGGTCACCTGGTTGCCAGCACTCCCCACCACTGGCTTCAGCTCCGACCTCCCACCAATAGTTACCACTTTAAACTGTGGCGCTGGAGACTTGGTGTCTCCTGAAGTCTGTGAGACGCCAGGCTTGTTGCCTGTGTGGGGCAGCTGAAGCACTATAGGCTGCCCTGACTTTCCTATTGCTGTAACCAAAAGTTTCTGTCCCTCCTGCTTGATGACCTGGGGTGGAGTACCTGCAGACTTTGCTGCCTCGGTGGCTTGAGATGAGGCCACCTTATTGAGAATAATCTGGTGGTTTGCAGCAGAGATGGTGAACGGAGCCGTGAGCTTCTGTAGTCCACTAGTAGTGATACTAGTCCCAGTTACACTATCTGTAGTTTTAGTTGTGGCCGTGGAAGTAGACAAAACTGGTTTGAGGGCAAGAATGGTTGAGGATGCAGTGGAAATGGAGATAGGAAGCTGACTTCCAGGGCTGATGCTGAGTGTGGAGTCTGTAGCTGTGGGCGTGGGCAGAGTCTGAGTATGTTCTGTTGAAGATGCATCTGAACAAAGGCTCAAATTTTCTGAAGCCATTGGTGTATCCGTTTCCATTGGGACCGATGTGTCGTCGTTGGGCTCTGACTGGGCCATGGTGCCTTCAGGTTGGGAGTTAGGAACGTCCTCTATGGCCTCAGTATCCATGATCTCATCAGGAAGGAGGCTGTTCAGCTCTGGTGACACCACATCCATGCTTGCAAAGTCTCAGCTCTCTGTTAATCCTGAAAAAACAATACAATTACTTTTCATTGTCATCGTAAAGGGCAAACACTCACTTTTCAAATAAACACATAAGACGTAGATAAATAAGAATTATTTTCATGTTGTATTATTTTAATGAAAGGATTTAGAAGCATGCATTTACTGCACATAGTGCAGCATTGTGACTGAGGTACATATAAGGAAAAACGTCTGAAAATATACGGATTATGGTACACATAGTTGTAAACAAGGTTTGCAATTAGGATTGTACATATACAGTTTGAGCATTGAAGCTCAAGAGTCATATCACAGGAAAAAGTGATGTGAAATACTGCAAATTAACTCAAACACATCATTCTACAACTTTTTTTTGCTGCTTTAAAAAAAAGAGAACTTTCACAGCTCTCATTATCCATTATCGATCTACACGAAAAATCTGTCCATAGAACATAATTTACTCTGATTTGAGATTCTTTAATCTGCTGATTTTTTAAAGAAACTATATTTACAAGACACAGAGTTTTTCAACATGCATGCTCCATGTGCGCATAACAAACACTAAAAAGGAAGGAATATGAAAGTATTTTGGCTATCAATAGGATGATGTTAAACAAAACAGGTACTGTGTCTGCATAATCATGCAATTGTTGCAAAACTACTAATTTGCTTTAACTATTAACCTCAGTACCACAAAGCTCTGTATGACAAGTGCAACGCCCGAAAACCACTGAGCAAGATCAGGGTCACCACATTTAGCTACCAGCTGGAGTGAGGCTGGTTTATCTTATAGATTATTAGTGGTCATTTAATTTTTTTAACAAGAATTTTACTTAATAATAATAATTTGGGTGAGCAAGCCTTTAAATAGTCCAGGAGAGGAGATGCAGAGGGGAAAAGTTCCACCATAAAGTCCAATCTATTGCCTGGAGATGATTGACAAAACTTGCACTGAGCAGTGTTTTATACCCACAAATTGACTCCACTGAAGCTTTATAAAATATAATTTGAGTTCCATACCTATAAGTATCACAGTCTCTGTTTTCCTAATATCGGACAGTCTTTTCTACAAAACACAAAACAAACCACTGATTGCTAATTCACTGCTCTACATAATTAATACATATGCATAACTGAATAATAATGCAGTGTGACTGCAAAAGGCTTTGCAGGAAATGTAAACAAACAAGGCGGTTAAAGCTACCGAGTTAGCCTTGTATTCCCAGCAGAAATTCCCGGGTCGATATATTAACTTGCAATTGAGTTAATCACGTGAGAATTAATCAGTACAGAGGTGTGCATGAGTCACGTCTGACTTGTGCCGATTTTGACAGCAGCTGACAGCTGATGCTGGGCTAGCTAGGCCGCAGCGATCATCTCAGGCGTATCTTTGTCCTGCTGCACTCTGCTCAACAGTAATCCACCGAAACGCACATATGAACCCTACCCACCCCACACCACACACACACAGACACACACTCAGCCATCTGATCTGAGTGCTCCCACGACCCCAGGTGAAAGCAACCAGAAGAAACTGCGCTGAGCTGCACTTACTTTAATAAAAACCTTCACAGAAGTGTGAGAAAGAGTGAGAAAAAGCGACAAGCTGCGTGCTGGCTGCGTTACTATTTCAGGCCGGGGTTGGATTTCGAAAGATCCGCCATTTTTACCTCGTCATCAGCTCGGTTAGCTCCCCGGCTAACGCTGAGCTATGCTGTATGCATTTAACATTATTCACACAAAGCTTTGAGAAACACTCAACCGCAGCAATTCAACGCAAAACAGCGCAGCGACACGAAACCTGAAGCTCAGACTTGTTGTTAACTGTGTGCTACAAGCAAGTAACAAACTCTTTTCGCTGAGTGACAACGTAAACAATGCTAGCTTTCAATAATGCCTCCTGTCACTTGAGATATTCACCGGATTGTAACAGTTTAGCGACACAATGCAGTTAGAGCAGTTGCAAATATACATATGGATCACCCTAAAGGCGTGTGTAGCATAGCCTGTGCTTGGGGGCTATAGTTAGCTTGGCCTAAGCAGTTATAAATAACACATTTTAGTTCAACATTTTAGTCAGGTAAGTCCTATTTTTAACCCAGGCACGTCAAAATCCGTGTAGAAACGCAGGGAAACAAACAAATACAGCAAAGTTGAGAGATTTGCAGTGAGGTAATACTGACACAGTTATTTTTTTTTTTAAAGCGAACAGCTGATTTGTCTTGTATAATTTTTGTCAACATTCAAATAAGAAACAACTATTTTAGTGCTTTGCCAGCCCGTCAAAACAACTCAGTGTCCGGCTAAGTTAGCTTTTACTTTTTCGGAAGCTGTAAGTTAACTTCGGTTCTCATTATATATACATCATATGGGATCACATAAGTTGCCTGCTTTATACGTAAAGTAGAATATTTATCCTGTAGATGCCCTGTTTCTCACGGGGTATACCCTTACCCATCGTTATCGTCCTCATCAGCAGCCTCATCAGCAGCCAGCGGCCAGGACAACTGTACTAGCAAACTTGCTGAGCTTGCTAACGCCGAGCTAGCTAGCACAACATTGTATTTCTCAACACTGAACACGTTCCTAAGTGAGCGGCTTTCTACTGGATACAGTGTGGTTGGACGCTAGCGTGGGCCGATGCGTAGTCGTGCTTACCCGAGGTTTTTATGCTGGCCAGCGTTTCCAGATAAAACGAGGAAAGGAAAAAGCGATTGTTCAAAATACCGCGCCGAGCGCCATTCCTCCCTGACATTTCACAGGCCGGCCACGCCCTCCGCGGCCTACGTCACGGGAACGTAACACTTAAAGGGGCCGTGCAAGTTTCTGTGCACAATCATAATACAGCAGTTTGGATAAAGTTAATTAAAAATAATTTTTGTTAAATTATGTTTAGGCAAAATGCTACGCTTATCAATTATTGACTGCATTTTAATTTAATAAGTACATTTCAGTAAGCTCTACAGAAAGTCCAAATGCATAGAATCATCTTCAGTCAGAAGGAGTCTGCAAAATGACATGATGGGGCACAAACAACAATCTTACACTGAACATCATAAAATGAAAGCACTTATCAATGACTTCAAGAGACACTGAGGACCTCTCTTCCTTTAAAATCATAGGAGGGCTTCTCAGGGACCCATATCAAAGAGGTCCTCACCTCAAAAGTCAGTTCCACTGCTTTACTCAAAAAGGCTCAACAGCAGCTCTGTCCTGTTTAAGTACACTTAGAAAAACATCAAACTGTAGGCAAGAAATCAAGAAACATCTCCAGAGAGTCATAAACACTTGACTCATCCTTTTTAAGGATGAAACTCACCCCTGCCATCACCTCTTCTCTCTATTGTCATCTAGAAGGCACAACAGAGCCACCACCTCAGTATCATTATAACATTTAATAAAATAATAAAAGACAATACACATGTGTCAGGACCTTTTCTTCAGCTTGCTGACTTTCATACAGTCCAAACCACAACACTACAGCTTGATTCTGTTGCCTGCACTTGACCAACCAAAAATTAGTGGAAACACACTTGCAGTATTTAGGAGGCATAGAATGAGCCCTAGTAGTAGTGGTTGTCCTAAAATGATGCTACAGACCGTGTGCTACTTTGACAATCAACCCCTGATTGAGACAAGCAGACAAGCAGCTGCTCCAGGCTTGTCACAGGAGTTACTATTGGAAATCATATTTTCTGTGACAGCTCAGACTGTTTAGAAGACATTGCATACTCTCTACGGACAGTGTTCAAGAAAAACCTCTTTGGGACAAACTGCAAGTTTGAACTTTGCAAAAAATAGTCTGGTGAACACTGGGACCACATTCTTCGGTCAGATTTGACCAAAATACATTATTTCACTCAGGTGGGGTCCAGCAGGTTTAGCTTGAAACTGGCCACGACTACCACAGTGGAAGCATAGTCCTGACAATGAAGCATGAAGGTGGTAGAGTGATGATGTGGGACTGTACAAGTGCAAAAGGTGTTGGGGAGATGATATGTATAGATGGCACCATGAATGTCTGTATATATATTAAACTTCTACTGAATTGATGATGTGGCCCTGCGATAGACTGGCAACCTGTCCAGAGTGTCCCCTGTCTTCACCTTAAGTCAGCTGGGATAGACTCCAGCCATGATAAAGATGCAAAGCACGGAATCACAGTAGAGTTTCTAAAGAACAAAGTAAAAACAATGTCCAAGTATGCCAACTGACCAATATAGCACATTTGATGTATTTTAAAGAGAAAGGTAGAGCAGCACAACCATGTCAGCAAGGAAAAGCTGAAAAAAACTTAATCCATACAGCCTTATGATTGAAAAAGTTTAGAAGTCATCAAAAAAAATTTAAAAAAAAATTTAAAAAATGGGGCAGAGACGATCTGCAATTATTATTGCAGAGAGAAAACTTTTTTATATACCAAATGCAGGGCCACAGCCTATCCAGAACTAAAGAAAGAAACTGATTTCAGTGTTTTTTTTTTTTTAGCAGTCTTAATGCACATTATCTGAAAGTAAATAACATTGTACTTGCTAATAATATTATCATTTTCCTACTTTTTTTTTTTTTTTGCATTCTTTAGCCACCAATTGTCAATCGTGAATTTTGTCTCAAAATTTCTCGCAAGGTTCCATTTCAATCAATGCCTCAATTATCCAACATTTCACTTAAAATTAAAGTTTGAAGAAAACGTCTATAAATAGAAAACAAGTTTGTGTATCAGAACTGTTTTTCTTCTGTTCTGTCCCTGTAATCAGGTGGCATGACCACAGATTATCTATTACCTTTGTATATAAAACTCTGCATAAAGTCGTTCAAACCTGCAGCACCTATACTACTACTAATACTAATACTAATACTAATACTAACACTAACAACTGACTTTGGCTGTGCGCGCCCCCAGCAGCGAGAGCGCGCTTCACTTTTGGAGGACCACCGCGCTCCGCGCTGTGACCGCGCTCCGGGGCTCTGTCTGAAGGCTCGCCCTCTCTTGGCGGAGGAAGCCGGTGTTGTTGACACTTCGACACAAACGACAATGGCGACCGAAGTGAGGCAGGAGCTGGCACAGCTGATGAATTCAAGTGGATCTCACAAAGATCTCGCTGCCAAGTAAGTAGCGCTGCTTGTATATAAACACATAATAAGCACAAGCTGTTATAGTTTAGGAAGTAAACGCCGCAGTAACTGTTAGCTAGCAGCGAGGTAACTGTGATGGACCAAGCTAAGCTAACGTAAGCCAACTAGCTGCATTAGCCATACATTCAGCTAACCGAGGCAGATAAGCGATCTGTCACAGCATTTTAATTGTAAAATTCTCGTTTTAACTGTGACTCTAAGTCCAAGAGACATAACGGAGAGGCTACCCAACGTTAACAGTTTATTGTATCATATTAGCTAACTAGTTGCTATCTCAAAGCTAACAAACTGCTCTTTAGCTGCACAGTTGGTGCTGGGAACATCATAACTTTCGGAGTTTCAACAACTCAAGAGCAGTGACATAATATGTGACAAGAAATTTAGAATGTACAAAGGCCAACTATTAGCACGCTTTGTCTCACAGAGACACAAATCTTCAATCACTAGCCGCGTTGTGTGTTTGTGTACAGTTAACACAAAGCCCCTTAGAAGGAACATAAAGCAAAAGCACAGCCCTGCAGGAATGCTGCTTTTGTCAAGCTGATGCATTTTCAGTTTTTGTGGACATTATCATAAACGTTATAATTTCAGTTTATGTTTGTTATTAAGGTCGGTTGTGGTGGTAGAATAGACTGCATTATCTTGAGGGGTATTTCTAATATTGCCCTCTCTCATGTATGTGAATCGGTTGAGAGGTACAGCTATTTATTAATTAGCTGTCAACTTTTAAATCAATCGCAAACTATTATGATAAGTGATTAATCAGTTTGAATATTTTTTTGTTTGGTTTTAGCTTCTTGTATCTAAATACGTATTGGATTCTTTCCTCCTCTATGATATTAATCTGAGTATCTTTGGGGTGTGAACAAAATAAGACATTTGTAGATGTCACATTGGACTTTGGAAAACACTGATCAATGTTTTTCACCATGTTGTGACATTTTCTAGATCAAACAAGTAATCTGTTATTCATGAAGGTGACATTGTAAATCATCGTTAGTTGACGCCATAGCACAAGTGTGCTATTCGCTCCACAGATGTTCTGAATAAAGACAGTGCTTGATGACTGTACTGCATGTGCTAAATGATAATGGCAAGTGCTGCTGATGTGTAAACTGAGAGTCTGTCTGTACAATCCTATTTGTACCTAGATGTGCAGACACCTGGAACACAATCTGTTCATGTCCATGTTTTGTAAAGTGTCTTTGTATTTTCATTACTAATTCTTTAACCAACAGTGACATGCTGGATTTTCAGTAAGATGCAAAGCACCTCCCAGACACTAAAAGATTGTACATCACTCCGTTACACTAAAAACACCAGATGTGTAAATCAACAACCGCAGCAACACACTGATTTATAGTGACACGTGTATCAGTCATGTTGCAATTTAAACAGATTGTGTTTTACCTGTGTAGTGGACACATGAGTGATCCGCCAATCACAAAACACAGATGATACAGAGCTAGAAATGACTGTACTGACTGTGTGTATCAGTTTTGATTTTGTGTAGTTTCTAACCAGTGAAATCTTTTGTAGATATCGACAAATTTTGGAGAAGGCCATTCAGTTTACAGATGCAGATCAACTGGAGTCCTTGAAGGCCTTTGTTGAAGCAAGTATGCTGTGTCTGCTTTCTTCTGTGATCAACATACTCTATATGTATAGTGCATTTGGATGGAAACAGGATATCTTACTTCTAATATTTTACACTTTTGCAGTGGTCAATGAAAATGTCAGCCTTGTCATCTCGAGACAGCTGCTCACTGATTTCTGCACACATCTGCCCAACCTACCTGACGCCACAGCTAAAGCGGTTTATCACTTCACTTTGGAGAAGATTCAGCCGAGAGTCATCTCCTTTGAGGAACAGGTGAATCCATCACACTCTCACATAGTCCTAATGGAGATTTGTTGATCTCTCAGTCAGTTAAGATTGAGTATTATCATTGCAGTGCACAGCTAAACAATGTTCTTACACGTCTTCAGGTAGCCTCAATCAGACAGCACTTAGCAACCATTTATGAAAAAGAGGGAGACTGGAGAAACGCTGCCCAGGTTTTAGTTGGCATTCCCCTGGAAACAGGACAGAAGTAAGTAAGCTATTTGCACAAGTCATATCTTAATTGTGTGAGATCTCCATGTCTTTAAATGCTTTTTTCTCCCCCTTGTAGACAATATAACGTTGACTATAAGTTGGATACATACCTGAAAATTGCCCGACTCTACTTAGAAGATGATGACCCTGTCCAGGCAGAGGCCTACATCAACAGAGCCTCATTGCTTCAGAATGAGTCCTCCAACGAACAGCTGCAGATACACTATAAGGTACATGATTCCTTCATGGTTTCGTAGCCGCATGCTTTTATCTGTTGCTGATGTTGCTCACAATTGAAAGCCCATAGAGATAGTATAGAAACATTGCAATATAGTATCACTAGTGTTGTGGATAAGTGCTTAATGCTGCTCTCTCTCTCTTAGGTGTGCTATGCCAGAGTCCTAGACTTCAGGAGGAAGTTCATTGAAGCTGCACAAAGATACAACGAGCTATCCTATAAGTCAATTGTCCATGAAAGTGAACGCCTGGAGGCACTGAAACATGCCCTGAACTGCACCATACTGGCCTCTGCAGGTAACACCAGGACTGATGTGAATATATTTGAAAAAATAATCCAAATGAAAAAAACAAAAAACAAACGTGTGTCAATTTTTTTCCTCATGTATCATTAAAAAAAATGTCATTTATTTCAGGACAACAGCGGTCCCGTATGCTGGCCACTCTCTTTAAGGATGAGCGCTGTCAGCAGCTGGCTGCTTATGGCATTCTGGAGAAGATGTACCTGGACCGCATCATCCGAGGAAACCAGCTGCAGGAGTTTGCTGCCATGTTGATGCCTCACCAGAAAGCCACCACAGCGGACGGTAAGTCACGATAATTGGCTTTACACAGCACATCTGGAGCGACATGGCTCTTATATGACACTTCAAAGCAGATATTTTTAACTGAGCTTTCTTCTTTTGCCACCTACGATAATATATGTAATTGAAATAATGCTTTCTTGCCTTTTAATTTGACTCATATTTACTGTTTTTGCTTTAACTTCCATTTTATCCTGTTTTTATTTTGCATTTTATTTTCAATGTTAAAGCACTTTGAGCTGCATGTGTTGCATGACAGATGAAAAGTAATACCATTAATCTGGTGATGATGGACAAATTCACAAAGTTTGTGAATCCAGTGTGTTTACAGCACATGCTCAGTGAATGAAGGCCCATGCTTTTGATTTATTAGAGCTGTGGTTGTGCATAGATTAGCAGGCAATTGTTTATGCCTTGAATGTTGATGATGTAGGAGTAATAGGTGCTATTTTTAGTGACTAAAATTAGCCAACGTCCATTGTAGCTTGTGTATTTTTGCTGTTTCCCAACACTAGTCTATGGCAGATTGTCTGTGAGAAAAAAAAAAAACTTGCAAGCCTATTGAAAAAAATACAAGATGACAAGTGTCCTAAAGGATATTTAATACAGCACAGGCAAGCATGGCAAGGACATATTTGGGAGCTGCTGATAAGGCTTTACAGAAATCTGATAAATTCTGACTTGGCAACCTGCACAAAATGCACTGATTAAAGCCAGAAGTAGCACATGTGTTCTGGCAAATGCTTACATTGAGCTGTGTGAATATGTGGCAAACCTTACAGCCTAATGCAGGACTAGCTGGGACTGAGTGTTACAGAATATGAGAAACAACATGGTTAAAATTTGTAGATTTAAAATAAACACAATTGATTTGTTTAAACCTTTCATATAATCAGAGGTCACAATAAACATGAAACATTTGATTCACTGATTCAACAGCTAATATTGACATCATTGCCTGGAACCACCCAGTTTTTTCAAGATGAACGCATGAATAAGCCCAGAAAGGGAGGAGCCATGACTGGTATAATTAGTGGATACAGTTTTAAAGTGGCAAACTTAAATTCTACTTCAAAAAAATTCTATGACCTTTGTTTTATCATTCATGTGGCCAGAAACAAATTAAACTTTCTTGATGAAAGTTGGAGGAAAAGGCAAATAAACAGCTCTTTCTCGCTACCTCCGTTACAGGCTCCAGCATCCTTGACAGAGCAGTGATTGAACACAACCTCCTCTCTGCTAGTAAACTGTACAACAACATCACTTTTGAAGAACTAGGAGCATTGTTGGAAATCCCTCCAGCAAAGGTGAGACATGCGTTTGGATTAGTGGACTGCTTAAACGTCCAAACTGCTTTATGAAGGAATTAGTTGCAACTAAATAGTTTTATAGTTTATGTTAAAAAAGAAGAAGTTTTCCAAGTTGTGTGTGTAGATCCTCATTTGTGTATTTGTCTTTAGGCTGAAAAGATTGCTTCCCAGATGATCACTGAAGGACGCATGAATGGCTTCATCGACCAGATAGACGGCATCGTACACTTTGAAAGTGAGTGGTGATGCCTGACGTGTTTGGTTCTGTATTTTATGTAGACTAGACTGAGAGCAGGTAGAGAGCAATGGTCTGGTCAGAGACGCCAAATGATGCAAAATTTGTTGATTTGATTTTGTTCACCTCAACCAAAGAATGTCATGCACGTCTGCAGCCAAAAGGGGGCAGCCTCCTCAAACTGACCTGTAAAGATTATGCTCTTAAAGCAGGCTTCAACATGGCTGCTGTGCAAAGTTTAAATAGTCATTCACATGTCATAAAACTATAATGAGTCTTCTAATCTCTTCTTTTCACTCTGGCAGCCCGTGAACCCCTTCCCACCTGGGACAAACAGATCCAATCTTTATGTTTCCAAGTCAACAACCTCCTAGAGAAGATCCGTCAGGCTGCTCCAGAGTGGGCCGCACAGGCTATGGAAGCCCAGATGACCCAGTAAACATCTTCACCCTTCCCAGCCAAAAAAATGCCGCAAAACTGCTCCACTTAGCTCACCCTGAAGTTTTGTCTTCCTGCTTAGAAAAACATCACCACTGCAGTCTCAGTAATGGAAGCGACCAAGGAGCACCCTCTGGTATCACCACCACTCATCTGAGACGTTTCTCTTTTGGCTACATTTTTTTAAAGAGCCCAGTTTAATTACTTTTGCTCATTGTTTGCCAATATTTCCACTCTGTGTTTGGCATATATATAATCACCAGACTGTGCTGTAAATGTACCTTTAGGTGTGACTTTACATTGTTTACATGCTGAAAATCTGGACATGGTTACTCAGATAGTTGACGTATAATTGGGTCAAAAAGAAGACGCATACCACTGGTATATTTAAACTTTTTGTGCTCCAGCACGTTCTCCTGTTTTTAACTTAATAACAGCAATATCTGTCAAATGGTTCTTGATTCATTGCGTCATGTAAGCCTGTCGGCCCACACTTCAGCCAAGAAAATTAAATTTAAAGCTGAGAGAAACTGTTCAGCTTCATTGTCATTGTGTCAATACACAGTTCACATCGACATTTATGGGACAAAGTCATTAAAATGTTCTTTTTGAGTTCGTTTCAACTTCTCAGCAGCGTCGACTGGGATGTTCACTCTCGATGCATGTGAGTGAAGAATTCTGTGTTTTCTTTCTTTCTGGAACTCTAAACGGAAATATTGCTAATTTTAGAAATGTACACAACCCTTAATTACTTTTATATAGATGCTAAATGATGAAGGCTGTGTCTGAAATCACTCCCCTGTTCACTCTTTGCCTATATATTGAGTAGCAAAGTCATACTACAGATATTTATCGCAATGATTTTTAATCGTCACTCACAGCTGCCCAGTGATAGCTGCTGCAAGGGACTGTTAGCAGAAAACCGTGCATGCTCTCGTTCCAGTGTTCGGACTATATTACTGATACACATGAATTTAGGTAAATAGAAAGGCACCCAGTCAGTGTTGTTCACTGTACAGTGAGCAGGGAGTGATTTCAGATACACAAGAGTCTGCAGCATCTTAGCAGCCGGAAGGAAATGTGAAGCTTCATATAGTTTAATTCTACAGCAGTAGTTTGCAGCTTTATTGTCACGGGTTGTGGAAATAGAACCTGTGAAGCAAACAATAAACTGACATGTTTTTGTCCTGTTAGCTTTCACCCATTGATACAACAAAAGAAAAATAAAAATAAAAGATGAATCCAGTTGTGGTCCACAAGGAAAAGTCATGAATCATGAATAGTCTGGAGGGTCAGCACCTTATAAAATCAGATGTAACAAGAAAAGTAGTATAAAATAGGTGTCACAGCAAAAACAGATGAAACTAGCACCAGATTTACTTAAGAAACAACTTGAGGAAAACACAACGGAATACCTCTTCTGCTTTAAATGGAAATATTTTTATTAAAAAAAATTTTCACAAAAGAAGTTGATTAGTGTTCAACTAAAGTAAATGCTCTACTGCCAGGGTGGTGGCTGTGTCCAACACCTGCTGCCGTCATGTCTACAGTCACGTAGTTACATGAAGTTAATGACAGTTGTGAGCAGTCAAAGTCAACAGTTGTCTCCACATCCTACTGACTGCTCAGGAAAAAGAATTAAAATTCAATTACAGGTAGCAACAGCAATTTATGATGCTGTCCTCCGCTTCCAGCTGACGAATGTTTAACTGACTCCAGGACACGAACATAATTTCCCTCAGAGGAGTAGATTTGTTTAAAAAAAATAAAAAATAAAAAATTAACATCTTCATCAGAGAGATACATGAGGGCTGCAATCCAGCAGATTTATAGCATCTCTGTTGTCATGACAGCATCTGGAGGGCATAAAGTCAGCATGTGATTTTCCATCATTTCAGCAGCTGTATAAATGTAAATCTTTTTTGTGTGTGTATGTTTAAAAGCAGTTACCTGCTCAGAAAATGTTTTGCTGCTTCCTGAGGTCGATATCTCTCTTCAGCTGGCAGAGGGTGCACGGCCTACAGCACGACATCGCCACACAATCGTTACACATCGATCCCTGCAAGCACAAGCAGCTGCTGTGATCCACACGGCATCGGTGCTGGGGGTCATTCCAACTCACCTGACCCTCCCAGTTCAAAAAGTCTTTCAAAAAATGATTGAAGATGATGGCGTAGCATAACATCTTTCTAGTTAACATATGTATATGTACAATGAGTATTATCCCTCTGAACCTCAAAACCCACCAGCAGGTTTGAAAGGCATAATATCCTTAAAAAAAAAAGAAGCCAAAATTACACCTTTAAAAAAAAAAAAAAGAAGATCACAGCCAAATGCTGTAAAAACAGAATTGTTGGATTTTCAACTATCCAGCAATCCTTGACTAAATCATGTGTGACGGGAAGTTTCTACAGGAAAATTAATGAAATTTACGCATATATTCGAGATATCTTAACAAAATCAGTTCATTCTACGTGTCTCATTTCAAAATGTGCCCAAAAAATGAACCATCTGCTGTAAACATCCTTTTAAAAACAAAACAGTCTGCACTCCTGGGTGCAACTGAGACACTATGATTTATGGCACTAAAACCGTATTATACTGCAGAAAAGACAATCATGGTTGTGCTGGTTCAGCAGAGGTACAGGACTTTATATTGCAGTGAAAAACAAGCCCAGAGTGAGTGAAAATGTCACATGATCAAAAGCATGCCCTGAAACTGCTTAAGATTCACAGAGTTAACACTTCTCCAAAAGGACATTTCAATGAATATCACAATAGCGTCAAAAATAGGTTGACTTTTGTTTTGTTTTTAACTTTGAAACTATATTTGGCAAGATCTGTGGCAGTGAATGTTTAGTGTGCTGCCAAATAGCTTTCTAATATGATAGAAATATATTAAAATTACACAGATCTAAATTTAACTGCAATATATTAAAAATAGTTGAGATGTACTTTTGTTTTTTTAAACTGAAGATTCTTAATTTGAGTAGGACATTATTTATCCATCCATCCATTATCTATACACCGCTTAATCCTCACTAGGGTCGTGGGGGGGCTGGAGCCTATCCCAGCTGACTTAGGGTGAAGGCAGGTTCACCTGGACAGGTCACCAGTCTATCACAGGACTACACTTAGAGACAGACAACCAAGCACACTCACATTCACACCTACGGACAATTTAGAATCACCAATTAACCTCAACATGTTTTTGGACTGTGTGGGAGGAATCTGCTTGCTATATAAGGTTGTAAACTATATGAGCTTTATATGTCATAACTTAAGTCTGACTCAGGTGGAAAATAATGTGATGGGTTTGGCATTTTATGTTGTTTCTTTACAATTGTCCAACCGGAGATTATAACGTAAAATTATTAGCACACAGTAAACAGCAATAAAAAAATCAGCTCCACTTTTTTGCTCCAGTCACCTTTGACCCCTTTGACCAGCGGTTGAAAGAAGCTAAATACACTTACTGTGTTCTGTACTTCAGCGCAACTTTAAGTAACTTTTACTTGAGTAGTTCTACTGCTGTATTTCAGAGGGAAATATTGTACTTTATATTACATCTGTCAGGTGCTGCTAGTGACAGTATATCAGTAAACATCACTATAAAATGTCAATTTGGTGTTTAAAGCAACAATAAAACCACAGTGTGTTAAGTTAGTGCAGGAGAAAGTCAACAGAAGCAGGATTAGAATCTTAAAGGAGTAAAGCGAGCAGCCTACAAAGGAGCTCCAGGTCACTTTTCTGTTAAAACAGATTTATTTGCTCTCTAAACTCTTAGAAAAACTTCATTTAGGCTCTTGTTTGAGTGCTTTAGAAGGCATTAAAAAGGCTAAAATGAAACATCTGAATGTACCTTTCAGTTTACCTCGGTTTTGTCATGAAATCTTTACAATTTTTTAACTTAAACCAAAAACATTTTTTGCATATTTGCTTGAGAAAAATGACAAATTCTTATCAACTATCAGAATCAGTGTAGATTCATTTCCTTTTGTAAGGAGACTATTGAGTAATTGTTGTAATTCTGCAACAAACGGATCCTTTTTGAACCACATTTCCTGCTACTTATCTGTGTCCAGCTCACTTTGATGTTGTATCTGGTCCTGTAGACGCTGCGGATGGCCATGTCCATCCCACACAGGCAGCACTCGTCCATGTCACTGGCGATGATGCAGCCAAGGCAAGAGACGCAAAAGCTGCCAAGGAGGCCTGAGGCACAGGGGAAGCAAATGTCCTAAAATCAGTCTTCAAACTAGGAAACCACAGCCAATACAAACATAGACTTTTTTTTAGTTTTTTTGCTGTAGTCATTGCTCAGTTCCCTTTAAAACTTAGATGCATGCATTTTAAATGTAAGTGACAGGAACCAAAATGAGCAGTTGTAGAGAAAAAAAAATGTTTTCAAAAAACAAGTTTTGACCTTCATGGTTGAAGCCACATTTCAACTTCATACACTTTTTATATACGTTGTGAAGGATTTCCCCCCCCCCAATCAGTTACATTAAAAGCAAATTTACAAATTTTCCCTGTTTTGTTGAATTACACATAATATCTGGGAAAATCAGACAAGAGTAATAACTACATGTTGACTATTTAATGATAGTTAAAAAACAAAACAAAACAAAACAAAAAACATGAACAAGCTTAATGCTTAAAAAAAGTTTAAACATTTTTTTAATGTTACAGTATTTCACAGTTTTTGAATGTAAATTTTCCGGCACCCTTGCTGCCAGATTTTCTTTCTTTTTTTTTTTGTTGTTGTTGTTATTGTATTTTCTAAATGCAAAGCTTTGTTGTTGACAGCGTGGACACATCTCGTTTTTCGACAGACCTAAACATGTGAGCCTATCCTTTCACATCTTACATGCAGATGTCTTCCTAATGATGTACATATTTTAATGTAGAAAGAAAAAAATAGCAGGCAGGAGGGAGGCTTACAAATTTTAATGTCATGGTGGCACTGAAACATTCCGGACTGGAAGTCGGCGAGTTCATATCTCCCCGGTTGGTTTGTCACAGGCATCATCAGGATAAAAACTTCTCTCTGTGGGACGAAAAGGGTTTTGCGGTTATCAGAGCTGTAGTCTATGTTGTGACTATCTTCTCCAGCAGAAATCACTTTATATTACTTCTCTTTTGGTCCTCAGACAATGTGGAAAGAGCACACAAGTAATGTGGGAAATCGATCTTACCAGACGTTGAATGAAACTGGTGAAGGAGGCTCTTGGACGACAGACTGAGACCAGGAGGAAGCGAGAGCCTTTTAAAATGATCAGAGCAGGTCGTCAGCATCGTTTTATTGTGCAGGAATATGTTAACTCAAGCTGCACCCACAACCAGCCCACACATCCCAATAAACCTGCACTGTATTACAGTCCTGCCTCCTGACACCTGCTGACACCTGGAACTGTATATGTCTGTTTTTCTTTGGCAAATGTAACCCTCTGAACTCCAAGCAGTTTCTAGGCATGTGTTTGTTCCTGTCACACTTTTAGTCACTGGGCTCCCTTTTCATTGCAAATACAAACCTCTATGGAACCAACACAGCCATGACTAGAAGTAGAGCCAACTCAGAAATATCTTCACTGCTGTATAGCAAAGTTAGAATAAATCAGATCAAAATATGCTGAGGCTGAATTTCTTAGATATTGTACTTTAAAATTGCAAAATCAGCACGTACAACAAAAAGGGGTTGGAGCCACTCCCAGCTGACTCAGGTTGAAGGCAGGAGACATCGTGGACAGGTCGCCAGTCTATCACAGGGCTACACTTAGAGACAGACAACCAAGTACACTCACATTCACACCTACGGGCACCAATTAACCTCAACATGTTTTTGGACTGTGGGAGGAAGCCGGAGAACCTGGAGTGAACCCACTCTGCACGGGGAGAACATGCAAACTCCACGCAGAAAGATTCCGGATGTCCTCACCAGGACCCGAACCGACAACCTTCTTGCTGCGAGGCAATGATGCTAAACACCGAGCTGCCTTGCAGCCCAATTCTGATACCAATTATAAGAAATCAAGGAGACGAGTAACTGATACTTAGAACTGATATACATTTTAATAATTAAACTCTAATTGAAATCCTGGTGTCTAATTTTTAAATAAAACAAAATTTAGCATGAAATTGTGCTAAAATACCTCTTTTAATTGATGTTTTACATATATTTAATTAATTCAAAAGATCTACTTTTTCGAAAAACATTTATCTGTCAGTATTGATTACAGCAGGTATGGTAAAGTGGTCTCCAGTAAAAAAACAAAAAAGAAATATTCTGATTGTTGGGAAGTAGACTAACAAATGTCAGTATTGGGCTTAAGACCTTAGAATATTATTTATAGTGTGATTTTACTGGATAAACGTAGATATTAGAGAATAACCCCTACAAAATTACATAACATATTACTATACCCGAATATCATTAATAGTCAGGCTGAGACCCCACAGTGCTATTAACCCTGTTCAGGACTTTTGGGGTCTTTTGGACCCCAGACCATTTGGTTTAGGTGACAAGTATTCTTTTTTTATTTTTAAGATTTTATTTTTAAATATAAAAAGAGGGACATTTGTCATGCACTTGGAACCAAAAATACATCAATTTATCAGAAAATGTATTTAACATAGTATATAAGTCTATAATGAATACCAACAAATATTTTGCACACATTCTTTCTTGGGGTCCAATGGACCCCGAAAGAAAATCCTGCATATGGTTAATATGACTGGGGGGATTCATTTAGACGAATGTATTCTTCATGCAGCAGCCAGGTTTCAGACACATTAAGTCAATATGATGATCTGTTATCAGATCGTTAACGAAAAGAGATTTAGGTGACAGAGGTCTAATATTTAGTAGGCCATATTAAATTGTCCTGTTTTTTGATTCTGATGAAGTTTTATGAATTTGGATAAGGTTGTTGTGAACAGCCCTTCTATTGTTAATGTTAGACTTCTAGAATCTGGGTGGTCGGGGGGCAAACACAGTCTCTATAGGATCGTGGGAGGGTGACAGCCATAGAGAAGCAGCAGAGAAGTGTGCAAGACTGCGACTCTGCTTCCTGCTCTCACCTCTTGGACTGTCAGGTCCGATTTTCTAGTAAATTTGTCCATGTTCCTACATAAGAGAGCCGCACCATCCAAAGTAGGGTGTATGTTGTCTCTCCTAATGAGACCAGGTTTTCCCCAGAAACTTTTCCAGTTATCTATTAAGCCCACATTGTTTTCTGGGCACCACCTCAACAACCATGAATGATGCCATGCGGCTATACATATCATCACTGATCACATTGGGCAGGGGTCCAGAGAACACTATAAACATAGTTTACTCTAACTCATTAGACTCACTTATACTTCTAATCTGCTACATTTTAGAGGCAATGCCTGTACTTTAATGCAGCACACACAAGAAAAACTTATTAAAAATATAGTTATACAGTGAATTAAACCACCCAGAGGTTTACATAAAGCTGCAATCAAAAGCAATTAAAGCAGTAGCAATTAATAACAACACAGCCATGACACAGCAGTCCAGCCTGTGTAGTGAGTAACTTTGGCTTCATACATTATATATACAATACGTCAAATAAAGTAAAATGAATGAATAAAGGTTGTGTTGGGGGATCTTTAAGTTTATTTTGTTGAATTTTGCTTAATTTTGAAATCAGAATTATTACCTGTACTTCTGGGTATTTCTGCAGAATCTTATTTTGACACCTTTACGAAAGTGAATAATCGAACTGCTTCTTCCACTGCTGACAATGTAATTTTTTTTCACACTACAGAGAACAGGTGATGCTCAAATTATTTATGTGAAGCATTTGAAACACTGAGCCACAGAGCTTTTCAGTCAGATTAACAACAAATATGTTAAGACAATATCATTCATTATACAAACTGACTTAACTTCTCCGACTTCCTCCCACACAGTCCAAAAACATGTTGAGGTTAATTGGTGATTCTAAATTGTCCGTAGGTGTGAATGTGAGTGTGCTTGGTTGTCTGGATCTAAGTGTAGCCCTGCAATAGACTGGTTACCTGTCCAGGTGAACCTGCCTTCACCCTGAGTCAGCTGGGATAGGCTCCCGTGTGACCCCAGTGACATAATGGATGGATGTTCTCAAACCAGAGACTCTACCTCTAACAGAGGGTGCAGCTGCCAGCATTCACTCTGCAGACCCGGGACTGGATCCTTCTGCAGAGCAGGTCTCTGAACCCCGGTGACTATGGATGGACATTAGGTGTGTATAGGTATGAGCCAATTCCAACACTAGACCCCATGACTCCAGAGGAGCTACTGAAGTTCACGAGCTGTAATTGTCATGGACAATGCAGCAACTGGCGGTGCAGTTGCAAGAAGAATGGGGTCACGTGTATCTGGGCCTGTGGAATCTGTAAAGGCATTACATACAGAAACTGCAGTCATGATGTTGTTGAGTCTGAAGAAGACATAGACAATGACTCTTGAAGCTTCTGATGTGAATGAGAAATAAATCTGAGTGTTATATAAGTATGTGAAATAAAAGCTACTGTGAATGTAAATGTAAATGTGAGTGTGGCCTTTTTCAACAATGGAATGTTTGTGGTGAAATATAAATGCTAACAATCAACTCAGAATCATGAACAAACCCTGATTTGACCCCTCATAAGTTACTGAAGGCCCGATTTTAAAAAATCGATTTCTTGTCAGTCGGTTATCGGTACCCTAACTTGAGCAGGTTTTTTTAAAGGTTTCTCACAAGAGTTGAACTTCAACATTTTAAGGCATGTTATTACACACCTTTACAAACATATTTGTGAAGAAATTGTTTGGCAACGATTTAGTTGTCAGATTTGTGAAAAATCTCATAAAATGCCCTTTCTAGAAATAACGACAAATGATCTGAAATTCTGATTTAAAAAATGAAGGTTAAGATGCTACAGAAAACCCCAACAAATTCAATGTGTGAGCGAG